TTCGCATCTTCCTCAGTGCCTTGTCGCGCTGCAGCAGCAACATCTACTCCTAGTTCAACTTCTGCTTCGACATCAAGCGCGGCTTCAGTCTCAGCACCTCTTTTTGCGGCTCCAGCTTCAGCTGCGCCATCATCAACGGCAGGATCTCTATTTGGAGGCGCAGCCACTATCGCGACTGCAACCACAGCAACAACAACAACTTCATCCATTTTATTTGGCACGCCTTCCAGTGCACCTGCATCTAGTACACTGGCCACGAACACCTCAGTGACTCCTTCGCCATTCTCCTTTGGGTCTAGCAAGCCACAAAATATCTCTTTCGGTCAACCAAATACAACTCCAAATTCCCTCACTACTGCAAGTGCTCCAGCAACTAGTGCACCGACCAGTGCACCTTTATTTTCCTTCGGCGGAGGGACATCCAGCACGCCAGCCGCATCCAGCAATCCTCCAAGCTTCGCATTTGGTCAACCGGCTACAGCTGCAAACCCCACCACTACTACAAGCGCTCCATCTTCCGCAGTGTCCACTAGTGCATCCACATTTACATTTGGGGCAGGAGCTACTGGTGGCTTTGGTTCAGGTCTTGGTTCAGGATTTGCAGGATTCGGCGCCTCCGCTCCCTCAACCACTACACCATCCTTCTCATTTGCGGGAGGTGCTGCTAAACCACCAACTTTTCCATTCAGTGGGAGCAGCAATAAAACACCAACAATGGTATGATGTCGCCCACAATGACGAGCTCCAATCCTGCAGCGCCTACCAGCACCGCCAGCACATCATTCGGCGGATTTGGCTCCTCTACAGGCACAGGCTTTGGAAGTGCACAATCTACCCCAACATTCGGAGGCTCATCCTCAACGCCTTCAGTGTCTTTTGGATCAACGCCTGCATTTGGGGGGCCTTCACAACCTGCACCTTTCGGGCAGGCATCATCAGGAGGCGCTTTTGGGGCTACAGGATCTGGTCAAATGTTCGGTGCGTCAAATACTATGAACAATGGTACCGGTGGTGTATTCAGCAGTGCTAATAGCAGCAATAACAACAGCTTCATTTCTCTTACAAACTCCGGCGGAGCGGCACCAGCATTTGGGGTGGCTTTGGAATGCAGCAGCCATCACAGCAACAGCAACAGCAACAGCAACAGCAACAGCAACAGCAACAGGGAGGCTTTGGTGGGTTTGGGGTCAGCAGTGATGGTCAATTTGGCTTTAAGAACGTATCCAACGCACCAGGCGGTGCACAATATGCCCAGCCGGCCCCAAGTACGCTGACAGGGGGTTTTACATTCAACATGGGTGCTGGTCCAGCTCCTGGTGAGATGCCTGCCAATCGCAAAATTGCAAAGATGCGTCAGAAGAAGAGACCTTAAAAGCGATAGGATAAGACACTATAGAACGATTGTGTCAATCTCCATCATAGACTTTTTTTGCTCCTTGCTTCCTGTACCATAATAAAATTCAGAGCTACGTATCGTAGGCCTTAAATTAATTCCACAAACCAGTGCATAAAAATAAAAGAATGCGTATACACTTAGTTTCATAATTTCATGTTCGTCATGCAAACATAATAACTGGTTTGAATATGAGACAGATGATCTTCTTTTTTTTTTATTTTTGTCTCTCCTTTAGTTGCACGGACAACTCTCTCGTTCTTCCCATCCTTTTCTTTTATTCAACAGATCTTTTATGAAGACTCATGAACACATTTACCAATTCAGTAGAAAGAATAAGTTATACACTTACTGCCACATTAATAGGGCTGTGGCTGCATCTCTGCGAACACAGCAAATATTTGAATATAGACCTACTCCATCCGAGAACAAAGCAGCCAAAGATACAAGCAATCGAGTAATCAACATGCAAGGGCTTCAATCTTCTGCACTTGTACCACCGCAGCCTGCGAAGCCTGTGCAACCCGAGAACGAACAACAGTTGAATGAACCTCAGCAACGAACACAGGCAATTGAAGCATTAGCATCATCAAAAGCTAACCAATTCACACAACAGACGCAGCAACCACAATCGCAACAACAATATCAACATCATTACCCATCGGACCCTCGACAGTTAATGCTTCCTCTCCAGCACCCACAAACCCCAATCTCCTCTGTTGATGAACATACATTTCAGAATTCCGATGTATCCACAGAGCATTCGAGCAGATATTTCACTAGAAGCTTATCAACTTCATGGCCGCTAAGCAACAATCATAATCTTCACCAATATCAAAGTCAACGAGAGTACCAGCGTGGTGTCCCACCTACGTCCACTTCATTGACTTCAGCCTCTGGGCATCTAGCACTTCCTGCAGAGGATACTAATAACAGCAATCGCCCAAGGAGATGGTCTTTGACCGGACGATTTTTTGGTGATCGCAATCGTCGAAAAGTTTGACGGAGCCTTTTCACATACCTCACCGATGTGATAACCAATCTAGCCACGAAAAGTATCATGGACATAGTACTGAACAAAATAGTGCAAAGGATCGACGGGCTAGTTCGCCGGTCAATATCCAGAAAAACATAGTGAAGCATCGAAACACACAAACAGTTCAGACATCAATGCGCCTTCGGCACTCATGGAGGTGAACGTAGAACCAGTATTACAGAGATCCCCCGGGCACTTCTGTCCTCTTTGCGTCGAGTTTCCATCAGTGGTTTCGGTGCTGACCCTCCACCATCTAGCAGTTGCTCCGGAAATAATGAGGCCATGGCAGCCGCCACTGCAGCCGTCTCAGCATCCATTGCTGCAGCACTCGGGACATCTCCTCGAAACAAAAACAATCAATTAGATCAATTGGGTCATTTGGATCCGGAAACGAGACAACGCATCATGAAGAAAGGCAATGAAGAGGATCATGAGAGTTCCTCAGAAGAGGAGAGAGCTTGGCCGGGTGATAACTTCTATGTAGTCATGGCGATACCAAAGGAATCGTCACAGGATCCAATCTCGCTTGCCAAGAGGTTACCAACCAAAAGTATTCTCAAGAAACGATTAGCAGATGCTGCCAATATTAATGCTCAAAATAACAACGTTGTTGCTCCTGCCGCCATTGCAAGAGTAGAAGCATCAAATGCACCTGTTGCAGACGTGAATGGAGCTGAGTTGATTCGCCTATTGCGACGAAATCTGAAAGGATGACTAAATCTCCCATTCTGGGTTCAGAGGATGTACACCCTATGGCAACAGCTGACATGAGTGCAGAGGAAATCAAGAATCTGAAAATGTCGACAGACCATTATGCTGAACTGATAACCCATTCTCCTACGCCTAGTCATCCTCAGCCACAAGAGGAACGGTCAAGAAGTCCGCAGGGAGAACCATTCGCTACAATACCATCCACATCATCACATCCTCTTTTTCGCTGTCAACTGATAGAAGTTCACAGAGACAATAGTGGATGATGCTGATCCCCGCAGCTGCCTTAATTATAACGAAGCGGCAATGGCCATCAAAAATTGATGGGGCCCTATTCATCATCACCGAAAGGCGCAGCGATTCCTCCAGATTCCACTCCGGGAATACAATCAAATTCATCTCACCGAAGTCGACCAACAGGTGGATGGGTACAGGCGCAGTGATTCCTGAGGGGGAGAACTGTCTCAAGCAGAGATGCTCGACAATGAAATGGTTTCGATCAATCAAGGCCTCAACTACAGCAATAACTTTGACAATAATTATAGCTACAAGTTGCAACGTAATGGGACGATAGACAGTAATAGTAGCAATAATAGAGGGGAAAACAGCAGCCAGCAATTTGGTTATGATCAGATACAGGACCAAGGACAAGGACACCAGGGCAAGATAAGCGTCGATCGATTAATTTTATGGACCGAATAGAGATTATTCCTGTGTACCGTAAGAATGAATATGATCGACAGAGTGACAAGCATGCAACGTTTTTGGTATTGACACCTGAGCTCAAGAATGAGATCCGTGAAGAACTGAACACTTATAAGCTACGAGAAATGCCAGTCCATGTGGACAGTATGAATAACACAGCATTCCATTAGTTTTTTATTATATATTTATTATTGTTATTGTTACTACTATTATTTACATGTTATGAATATTTTTTAACCAGTAAATTTAATGTGACCAATAAAATAAAACGGAATGTTAAACAGCTTCGACCTCCGCGGCATAAAGGCGGCTGGTGCACAATTCTCCAAAGCTGAACAGGGAGAACATTAAAATTAGAAGCGGTTTTAGCTCAGCCTCACCATCGACATGTTTTTTTTACATATTTGTACTGTACAACTTTACTTCGCCAGGATGAACATGTGAACACCTGCGCCTTTTTAGCTTATGTAGATCCTCTTACACAGTTCATCTCATCTTCTGTAGCATCATGTTCAACCAAAAAAAGGGCAGTGTAAAGATATCTGAAAAGGATGGGCTTACGGAAACACTATCCCGAAGGTCGAGGCCTGTTATCCCCTAGTCCAAAGGATACGCGAACAATCCATTTTCCTGAACTACCCGCGGAAGAATACCCTCCTTAATTTTCTAGCATCCTACTTTTTTTTTTTTTTTTAAAAAAAAATATTTATACCTACCTTTCTTTTTTGGTCCTGCTCTTCCTTACTTAGCTTATCTCCCTTACTTGAGTTGTCTTTTCCTTTTCCTTTGTGCTTCTTGTCGGCTTTTACGTGTAACTAGCCGTACTCCCCCTCCTCTACTTAGCTCCTCTTTTTTTATTCTCTTTCTTTGACTCTTGTTTGTGCAGTTGCCTATGGTCTTTATTCATCCTCCCTACTAGCCTTCACACCCTTTTCCCCCCTTTTTTTTCATATCTTACTATTCGTGACAATCGTACAACTGTACATACCCTAACACTCCATCCTGCACGCACAGTTACACGACGCAACTGCTGGTTATCTTTTTTTGTCTATTCCTCCTTTTCCCCTCACTTCGAAGTCCTGAAGGCGATATTGACCCTTCTCACCGTATCGCCAAAAGCCCTTTTTTTTTTTTTTTTTTTTTTTTTTTAAAAAAAAAAAAAACTATTGAAGATGATTATTTCAAGCATCACTGTATCGGCATCAACTACAAGGACAACTACAGCATGTTTCTTCTCTTACTCTCGCTCCTTTCCTACATCACTAGTCCTGCCGCCGCTCAATATTATACGCCCACTACTACATGGGGTAGTGTATCGACCTTTATAGAAGCTCAAAGGTTTATTATCCAAGGCGGTAGCGATGGCACGTACGCAATTCCGCAGACCTTTGAAATCGACCTCTCTAAATCTTGGGATACTTCCAATGTACCCTACAGACACCTCGCGGATGGCCCTCTGCATATAACCACTATGCGGTACTATTCAACGACAAGCAGAACTGGCTTATATTTGCAAATACTACCGCAATCCGATACACGATTTCACATGATACCTGGGGTACAAATATCCCAGGCACCTATCTCTGGGGTATAGGGGCTGCTAGAGATCCAAACACGGGTTATGCGTATGTCCCAAATGGACATTTGTCAAATGGGATCGGCGAAATGGTAGAATACAACCTAGTTAATGGTGAAGGCAAATTATTCCCTATGCACCCTAATCTGGATCAAACTTTCTACTACTCTATTGCTTGGAGCGAACAGGCGAGGAAGATGATTTTGTTTGGCGGACGCTTTCAAGGGAAAACTGCCAACAGTAACCTGTATACCTGGGATAGCCGCGATGGTTGGAGTAGAATTACACCCAACGGTCCTATACCTCTCCACGTTATGGCGCATGCATGGTCTCAGCCTATGGAGGCGCCAAAATGATTCTCTTTGGAGGATAGAAAACACAGCCCTGAGTGATATATACATCCTGGACATATCGAACATGACATGGACGAAGGGTGCAGATGCTGGTACTCCAAGTGCGCGCGGCTATGCTGCTTGTGCAGTATCCAATGATCTATTTATTGCCTGGGGTGGTGGTGGTGGTGTGCAGATCCAGTCATACTTCCAACTTGACTGTCATTTACAACATCAAAAAGAATGCCTGGCAGTCTACTTATTCGCCCATACCTGAAACCGACCCTTCTTTTCCCAGTGGAGGAGGCAGTCCCGCTTTGGGCGCCATCATCGGTGGCGCTGTTGGGGGATTGGCCATTATTGCACTCGTCATTGGATTCTTTGTAACAGAAAACGGCAACAAGCGAAGAAGGCCAAGGCTCCGGTATCTACATCCACACCTCAACATCCAACCAATGGTGAAATGACTGTGGCCGCAACAGGAGCAGGAGCTGCAGAGGAAGCCGCATCAGTAGATCCTGGAAAAGTAGCACAGTACGCTACATGGCAGTACCAGCATCCCCAACCCCAATCTCAACCTCAACCTACCGTCTACTCCCAGGCACCATATGCACTATATCAGCCACCTGTTATTCATGACTACCAGCAGCCGTCGCAGATTCAACCACAAATCTTCCAGCCCCAATCAACACCGAGTCAACAACATCAACAAGCTTATGAGAACGCATATCAACAGCAAAACACCTATGTCCCTCCTTCTTCAGGCACTGCACCTGTGTACAGCCCTCAACCAGAGGCGTATCAGCAGCCTACAATCTACCAGCCTGCAGGTGGTCCAGTCACGAATATCTCGCCGTTGTTTGAGCATCACCATCAGCAAAAGTCTGAAACACCCACGATAGTACCTAGTCAGTCTCTACACAGTCCCCAGCTCATGGCTGTATCAGACAGTTATGTAGATGGTGGTAGCCCCCGTCGGAGTCCTCAAGGCATGTAACGAAGGCCACGGCAAGGGCCGTCTTTAGGCGGCAGAGGCAAAGAAGCATATATGGTTTTTCTCGTGTATAAAGAATCCTGCAAATCTACTAAATGTCTACAATGTCTTTACATAATTATGGCATTAGTAATAACAGTAAATGATAAAAAAAAAAAAAAAAAAAAAAAGGAATGGGATGCCTTTGGGTCTAACCGGATTAGACCTTTATATAATAAAATATATGTATGCACCAATTCCTCTGCTCCTTCCCTTTTTTATTTGTATCAAAGTTTAGTACTTTCCATTGGATGGATTGTCTCCTGTCTGGCCACCTTGTTTCCAGTGATGGCAAGTCATTTCTCTTTCTTTTTTTTAGTGTTATATTTTATTATAGCTATTAGAAAAAAGAGAATAAGAGAAAACAAACAAGTAGCATAGCCGGATGACCTATATGGTTTTTTCCTTTTTTTTACATGAGAGCTGCTGGAGTCGTATTCTGGAAGAAAAAGTCGCTACGGCTCTTTTTAAGCCTCAGAACACGTTTGGTTAGCTCTGCTTCCTGAGCAGCAGCACTGCTGCTGCCGCTGCTAATGTCGTCTACATCTGTATTAGAGTCTCTTGAGGACATTTTAGCAATGGTGCTGGCAGATGAATCCGCTTTGAGGGCCGATCCAAATCCGTCACTGGAAGAAACAGCGGTGGAGACAGAGGTCATGGACGAGATAGTATGCGTGGACGCTTTCGCACTCAGCAGTGTCGCCGACAAACCCTGGAGCTCTTCAAGCGTAGCACTTGAGTATACATCCAAGTAACAGCCAGCACCTCTGCGTTCTTGCTCTTCTACTATCATAGTAGACGTATAGAAGCTTGAGCGAGCCTCGAGGCGGTCAGCCTCGCGAACGCTGAGGGGCTTAAGCGTCCACTTCCTATAACCGGCCCGACAGGCGCTTTGAGATGAAGGTTGCTAGCGAGTGAGGGGGCCGATGATGTACGAATGCCGCTAAGAGCGCTTGTGGGCCCAAGGCTGCTCATCAATCCATCGCTGGCGCTGCTGCTCCTACTGCTATTTGAACTGATGCTTGTGGATGAAATGCAACTGGCCTGGCTGTTATTCCTGAGCATTGGTGTCACCATACCCCCCATGCCTCTCCGGTTCATGCTAAGGGACCATTGGCCATAACGCTGGTTATACTGCTGCTCGCTGACATCCCTTAGGCGGAAGTAATAAGCCGCATACAGGGACCGCTTTACCGAAACATTATACTGGAGTTTAGCCATCGCGAACCGCTCCAACGCATTAACGTCCTTAACAGAAAGGCCCTCAAAGATGGCGCAAACATCCGAGTTGAAGACTGCAAGGTCCTCCCAAACTTTAATAGAAAGGATCAAGGCTCCTAACAGCAAGCGACGCCAATTGATCGCATGGAAGGACAAGTTTCCCAACTCTGTCATACGTTCAACATAAATTAACGTGATAATGGCGTTCTCCGCACCGAGGTTCTATCAGAGTTAGTAAAAAGAAGAAAAAAAAATTAGGAAACATTTATAGATATTTGATTTAACCATGCTTTATATATATATATACCTGGCTGCAGTCAAAGATAAACCTCATAAAGTCGAATATATCTGCTTGAGTCATGGTAACCTTTTCAGATGGCACATAGGAAGACGAATTGATAATTCTTTCAGTTCTGCAGTCATTGGTCCTATGGGAATGGAGTACTTTCTCGTAAAGTACAGTGGTAACCCTGTTTTTTTTTTTTTTTTTTTTTTTTTTTTTTTTTTTTTTTTTGCAGAAAATGTTAGGAGTGCTGAAATGCTAAGAAGAGGTAGCTCGCAAAATTAAGTAAATAAAAAATCCTTACGCCCGCAGAGTTTATCCACATCGCTCTTGGTCATTGTACTGTCGATATATAAGCTTGAAGTTGAATTACATTTCGTTAACGAAAAGTGAGAAGCCAAGGTCCGGCCCTCAAGCGCGCTCAAAGCCCCAGGCGCAATACCAGTCATAACACTTGTTGTGGTTTGGAGCGTTAAAGGAGGTTGGTCTGCCACAGTTGTAGCAGTCTCAGTACTTGAATATTTCTTTTTCTTATCATACTTCTTTTCGGCAACAGCCGTAGCAGATACGCCATGTTGTTTTGCAGGCTCCGTAGACTCGACACCAGATGCGAGTCTATCAGCCTGGTGTTGCTGCTGGGAAGATAATGGTGACGACAAACACTTTTGCGATTGTTTGTAACAGGTAGACTGTGACGGCAAACCTTGCTCTTCTTTGACCCAGAGCCTTCCTTTGCCAGTATGCCCTCATTCGATTCAGACCTTGAACCCAGACTTGAATTTAAAAGGGTTGATGACGATGACACCATAGAAACAGAAGGCTTTATTGGATCGCCCATAGTACTCGACATGCCGCCCAAGAAGTCTTCCGCGCCACTATTCTCGTATTCAGAAACCAAGTAGGTCAAAGAGTCTTCAGAACCGATATCTTTTCCTTTACTGTTACCTAGGCTATCACAGCCAAGGGCCAGACTGAAGTCAGACTCCGAACTGCAAATAATGTCTACAATTCGCCTGTCACCGAAGTGAGCCTTTTGAAGATTCAGGAGCTTTTGCTGGCGTTGAGACATGGGGTAAAGTTTTTGTGTAGCCTTTTCTGATGGCGAATTGCTATTATGATGCTGGCGTTGGCTGGCCTTATCGTGATGCTCCTCGTCACTGCTATCCTCTATGCTATCCTCTATGCTATCCTCTATGCTATCCTCTATGCTTTGTCGACGAAGCTTGGTTAACTTGGTTCGATGCCCAGTCCTTGATTTATTGCCATGATCACACCTGATATAGCTGATAATACTTTCGCTACAATTTTCAGTTTTGGTTTGCCAATGAGGGTCCTGTGTAAGTCCATAGGGCCTATCCCTTCCTCAGCCTTTCCCCTCACCCCAGTCTTCCTAATCTTCTGACGAGACTTCTTTGCATTATTTGCATTATTAGTGATAATTTCATGCCTCTCTAATGCCTTACTAATTTGAGCGTCTCCCATAGAGCTCCTCTGGGCTGGCGATCCCCACCAACCTGCGTCATTTGCATCTATCGTACTTGGATCATGTCCGCAAGCGGATTCTGCTCGAGAGAAAGCAGCAAATTCGATGAAGACTCCTTCAGACCGATCGGCGAGTCGGCTTAGGCTTGTAGAAGAGACAATAACAGAGCTCCACTCACGGAGCAACTCCTTGACAACGACGACGTGGAAGAGGAGCTGGTGATAGTACTATGGCAATAGCTATCAGTATCAGGTATTTCCTCCTTCTTGGCCTTGTTTAAACGTGGCAGAAATTGCAATTGGCCTTTTTTGTTCTCAAGTTGACAAGTGATAGGAAAAAAATGACCTTTGCCTTTCTCATCATTTGAACCTTCATTTGTGCTACTCTCATCACCGTCTTCATAAGAAGATCCACTGCTCCCAGTGCTATTGCAGCCTGGCCTCTCCTCTTGCCTTCCTCGCCCTCTTTCCATGGCAAGAAATTACGCCAGTCGTCTGCAACTCTGCGAATTGCCGAAAGTATGCAGAGCCTGGAGAACACTCGCGTAAATTTCTACGAACAATTCTTAACTGTTCTTTCGCAACTTGCTTTTCTTCTTCCGTATAAAGATTGTCTACAACAGCTGCAATAGTAGTGGTAGTGTTGGCAGGCCGTATAGACGTCCCTGTAGCTTTTTTGCGTCCAGGAATACTTCGCTTTTTTTTTGTCTTTTTCGGCTTGCAGTTGCTGCTATAGAATAATGGTCACAGCTTTGGTTTATTGCCGGCCACGGAGCCGATAACCTCGGGGTCCTTGTTGCTGTAGTTTTCTCCTGACTATATTGGCGTTCTGTTGGGATTTTGCATAGGTCTTTCCCTTCTTACTGTTACTACAAACGCCGTCGACACTACTCGTACTGGCGGTGCTTCCAGAGCGGCGACGTTGATACTGGTGCACTGCCTGTCGAATGCTATAGAGTGGTGAGCGTGTAGGACTATTCAATGGACGGGTCGGAAGGTAATGTTTGTAGTGGCCAACATGGTTTCCGTCAAAACCTGATATCATGCATGGAGGCCCTTCTTGAAGAGGTAGAGATAGTAGTCGTAGAAGTAGAGACCGCACCTAGCGGTGGTGGAGGGCAGTAAGGTGCGTACGAGGATTACATGAGCCTTGTCTATAACGGTGGTAATATATGTGTGTCTTACGGCCTGTTGGGTTTAAGAAAGCGAGGACTATAAACGTAAAAAAAAAAGAAAAAAAAAAAGAAATAGGGAAAAAATCAGCATGCAAATTACATTCTACGTGTCTTTACTTTTCGTATTTTTTTTACCAGTAGATTTTCGTGCCTTTAGATGTTGCTTTTAGTAAGCTTATTGAGCTTCCAACAAATTTGCTGTCCTAGTGTTGTTCTTGGATGAGATAGACTGTTGCTGGTGTCTCTCGTTGCTTTTGTGGAAGCTGGGATGCTCTGGTACTTGAGCATTGAAGAAGAATAGATGTTACGGTATGTTTGCGTGTAAATTAAGTGATAGAAACAAAGGGCAGTAAAAGAACAAGAAGTGTAAGCTAGCGCTAGTGTATGGATAGACTATGGAAGATATTCAGCTGCCTGATGTTTGAAGCAAACAGGGAGTATGGTGAAAGCGCTTGTGTACAGTAGAATGAAAAGGGTTTATAGGCAAGTGAGTGAATGAAAACGAGAAAGCAGCAAAGCAGAAAAATAAGTAATTCATAAAAGAGAAACGATTGGGAACTGTTTTTCTTCTTTACTAGAATCAAATGACAAACGAAGGGATAATATGAAAATAAAGTGAGATAGGCACACCAATGGTAATGAATGCGTTTTGAGCCTTTTCTTTTCGCTGTTGAGATGGCATCGATGCCAGCTGAACCTGGAAGGGGACCGGTGGAAACAGAATCGACCAGCGAGAGCAGGGCTGCATTTTTTTTTTTTTTTTTTTTTTTTTTTTTTTTGGTGGAGCCGCTACAAATAAGAAAACTGGTATTATGTCACATCGATTATCAGCATGTCTGCATGATGGAACAATATCAGCATTGCATACCATAGGAGACCCTTGCATTCTTATATTCTTCTTAGCAAAACCTCTTAACTTCCTCGCTCTTCATATTAATGCCAACACAATAACTTTTTATGCAATTCTACAACTTTCAGCTAATGGTAAGCAGCGTCAAGGGATGGCAGCAATAGTCACAACAGTAGTATGCTCATACTCTCATAGGCTCGCATAGAAAAAGAACAAAGTTAAAGAGGATTCTGATTCGATCTATGAAGCATTTTCATTACCTTTGGTGTGCATCAGACTTTTTCTATCTTTTTTGGTAAAGGTTCTATGTAATAGCATCCGGATGCGTTGGCCGCTCTCTCTGTTCTTTTTTAGTTGCTTTGGTCAATCACTTTGGGGAGTTTATGTCATTTGGGTTTTTTTGGCCGAGAAAGAGTCGGAGAAGCAAGACCAACACACAACATTGCGGAAGTTGAATTTTTTAAAAAAAAAACTTGCCCTGTGCGTAACAACGCGTGTCAGGTCACACACGACAATCTGATCAGAAACAGAAGGCTCATTCCATTACAGCCACTGAAGAAACAGGACCCATCCTTCCCTTCATCCCGCTCCAGTTGTACATGCTTCGTAAAGTTAGCCGCAACACAGTGACAGCAAGAAGACATATATCTCATCTTCCCTGAAGCAGCACCAACTTTGGATATACTCCACCATTAGTTTACGCCTTAAGCGATCAAGTAAGCGAAACTATCTACTACCTCATTTTCATGCTCGGAATGGCGACTGATAAAACCAGTTCCATTGACCCAAGGAAGAGCAGAATGAAACAGAGTTCATCGCATTCATTTGACTCGGAAGATGATTCTGAATCTGATCTTGAGATTGATTTGTCTCCAAATCCCAACGATCGAAAAAAAAGATCACAAAAGGAATCAATCAAAGTTCCGAAACATTTTGGCAAGAGTAACACACAGGTTTACGACAATATCTCTGTCTACGCTCCACCGGACTCCAACCTCATTTTCAAATGCTCTCAGAAGCGTGCTAACTGGTACCTCTCTCGAAATCTTGCCCGGCCACTGTCTCCAAATTCGATCCACCTCAACTTTTCACCCGCGGGACAGGGTCCATGTAAATGATCCCCTACCTGGAAGAGCGCGAAAATAAGTGCGTTATCTGTGGCTTGACTACTGCAGAACTGGTGCGACCATGTTGCACGTAGTTCCAGAACAATACAGAAAATGGTTCCCGATTCGGCTGAAAAGCCATTCCAGTCATGATATTGTCGTTGCCTGCCCAGAATGCAATGCCAAATGGGATAAAGAAGCAGCAGTTGTGCGCAAAAAGATTGTCGGGCTCTATAGCATACCTTTAGAAGGTATTGGATGGATTAAAGACCATGAGGCAAGTGTAGCAAAGAGATCTGCCGCTGCAGTGATCACAGAATGAATCGGCGATGGTTGGAGTATCATACACAGTATAACCAACAGCAACAACAGCAACAACAGCAACAACAGCAACAAGAAAGCGATAAAGCCAAAAGGAAATCGATTACAAACAACATTGACTGCAAGCCCGTTACAGGAGAACCCTGGCTCGACTTCAAGAACAAGAAAGACAACAAAAATAAAATGCAGAATGTGATACCCCTTAGAAGAATGCAGGTTCTCGAGAAGAATGCTTGACTGGGGAATAGTCATCAAAAGGGTGATAAAGAACAATTGATAGAAACATCAACAATACAGAAGCGAGACTCTATGAACGATGCTGATGACAGGAAGAGCCACGAAAAAGATGAAGGTTGATGATATTGATACTTCAATCCACTTCGCTTGTACCTTCAACAGGATTTCCAATACGAAGGAAACGATCAAAAGGCGAAAGGGGGAGAGAGGCACAGATAGAGGTCCGATTTCACCACCAGGAATACTCCACACATTAAATAGGACTATTCTAGACGGCAGCAATGGCAGCACAGGCAATATATAAAGGGCCGGACTACAAGGAACATGGCCAGTTAGTGATTGCGCGGGTGATGGCATCTTCGCCTGAGTTTTTTAGGATGCGGATGAAACTCCTGGGACGATACGTCATGGAAGGATGCTGAACCATTGGATCCTGCTCCGGTAGGATGGCAAGATATTTCGGCTTTTGTCGGTCGTGAGACAGGCATTCCTAGAACGAGCTATGCCACAACATCTCAGTTCACAATGGAGAGTTGAGAATCCTGTGTAAGCATTTTAAAGAAGCCTCTGCATGTAGACTATCTATTACATGTGTTGGTTAAAGTGTTCTTTTTCGCTATGAATGAATGAAGAGTGTCATTTTTATAGTCCTGCACAAACCCAGTGATGCCTGTTGGCTTACTAACAGTGTCTCGTTTTTGCTATGCTTGAATTAAAAGAAAAGGACGCTATTTTTGGCTCTCTTTCACCTCTTCTCAACGTCAACCTCATTCGCTCTTGTCTCTTCATCATTCTCATTCATTCTCTCTCTCTCTTCCTCTCTCTCTCTCTCCTCTCTTCTCTCTCTCTCTCTCTCTCTTCTCTCCTCTCTCTCTCTCTCTCTCTTCTCTCTCTCTCTCTCGCTCTCGCTCTCTCTTCTTATTTTTTATTAATCCCCTTACCCTTTGTCACAATACCTTCAACTCTTTTGATTTAACCTCGCATCGTTCATCGCTTATTTGCGCATCCGGGATGCGTTCTCGATTTAACCGCTACTCATTGCTTTCAGTGGCAGCCACGTTGTTGTATCGCTTATCCTCTTCATAAATCGCTCTTTCATACTCCATCCTCATCTCAACCTTGGTCTGCTAAAGTCTCTTGAGCCCTTTCTTAAAGACGTTGTTCTTTTGGCGCAGACTCGCCGTTTCACACTCTTCCTTCGACAATGTTCTCAATGAGATTCTGCGTCATGGTCATCTTCATCGTAATTAAAGCAACAGCAGAAGGATGGTTTGAGTAGAATGTCAAGGACAAGGATACGTATCTGTAGTTTATTCACGATCGATACACTTCGGATCCAAAACGAACTTGTGGGAATAACAAGATTATGAGACAAGCCGATTTCTTGGAGGAGCAGCAGGTATAGGCAATGGATTCCGACCCTCAGTCTTTCAAGCAGTGGCAGAACGATACCTCAAATTCAGGACGCCATCTCCAGCTGTGCTGCTGCAGCTACAGGTCATTCTGTCCTACTTGCAGAATGAAAAGCTGTGTGTTCTGGTGAGTGAGCAAACCGCTCTTCAAACATCTGGCGACAGCTAAAAAAGAAGCTTTATTCACACGCTATTTTGTTTAGGTCTTTACAAACATGGCATTTTGTCTAGCCTTCCTCACTGGGCGACTGATCCTGAGGACTTTCTTTGGCGATCTACGAATGATTGAACGGCAGGTAGGTGCTCTTTCCTATTTACTTGATCATTGGTAGAAGAAAGAGAATGACCAAAAGTCAAAATGAAAGGACCAACTACAGCAGAGACAAATCAATACCCAACACCTTTTTTTTTAAAAAAAAAAAAAAAAAAAAAAAAGTGAAAAAGTGAAAAAGTGAAAAAGTAGAAAGCTTATATCGAGGATCAATCCTCTTCCCGTCATGACCAGGGATACAACCACCACTTGTTCATCATGGGATTTGGTACTTTCCATTCAGAATTATCAACATCAACATGGAGAAGGGCGAGGGGAGGTTCAAATTGTGTTCCTGTCCAATTGGGTTTGATTTTATTGCTTTTTTGAAAGCACTAAAGTATCATCGTGTGACAATCCCATCCTATCCCAGTATAATTTACACTTCCCCACCTTCTCTCTCTCCCCAAAAAAAAAAAAAAAAAAAAAAAAATCATAGCACATGTATGATAGGGCACTAAACTTCCTGCTTTTTAAAGTCGTCTTTGGGGTGCCATTCTGGAGCCTCGCTGGGAAAACTTTTAATCTGGACTGCCTGGTTCACTATCCTCGGATTTCACGAGTCTTTAGCATGCTGTGCCGTGATCGGTTTGAATTTGTATGAATATGCAACAATGTTTACTGTACCAATTTCATTGTAGTCATCTGTGTAACTCTTCGCCTCTTTCAGATGCACTTTGCCAACAAACTCCTTCTTCCCTTCTTATTATAGTAACTGTATCGCCTAAATCCCCGTCATAGTCCATATCAAGATTTTGAGCATGCTCACAATGATCTTGGTCTCGAACATTGCGTGGTTTTACTCTGTATCTCGGTCTTCCGATCCATGTTACTTCCTGTCCTTTGAGGTATGTATCTAAATCTTGATTTTTTTTTTTCTTCTTCGTGAAAACACAAAAAACCAAGATTTCATAATTAACAAGCCCCGGCTAAACTTGTAACCCCTGTGTTTTGAATTCTCTTAGTGCTTCACATTGTTCCTGGACACGGTTCAGACACTTGTGAAATACATTATCCATCTTGGTGATTTATCACGTCAAGACCAGTGAATCACGAAGAATGATTCAATACTATACCGAATTTGTTACTGACACGATGATTTTGGTGACAACTTGGGACACTACTCCATTTATGGTGAGTCAACAAGAAGATCTGGTTAAAAAAAAAAAAAAAAAAAAAGTTATATCTAACATATATCTATACATCTATACATTATTTTTATTTTAATTATTTGATCAGTATTTGCATGGGATCTCATTTACACTCATTGATGCAGTGCTGTTCTTAACATGAGAAGCGTGTTCAACATTTAAGGAAAAAACTTGCCGGTCATCATGCCTACCGCCAGGCTCTCAATAACATGCAGCATTATACCCATCAGCAACAGAGAAGGAACTGGAAGATTATAGCGATGACTGTGCTATCTGCAGGGACAGTATGGCCTCAGCAAAAGTCCTTCATGTGGTCATATCTTTCACTTGTTTTGTTTCTCGGTCCTGGCTTAACATCACAGCTCGTGTCCCACATGCAGGCGGCATTGTCCGTCAAAACAGAATCAAATAGGGTAGTGAATAGTGGTTCGAATGGTATTTCTAGTCATAACGTGAACCGCGCCAATGTTGAGACAGCTGCAGCGCCTACCTTGAGCGACATCCAATATTCTAGCCGCATTGGGCCACCAACCGCTACCCCTTCGTTACAAGCTCTATCAGTGCCATCCTCTAGTTCAACCAATACTCCACATATTCTTCAGTGGGTAATCATTCATCGTCAAGTGCTCCTACCCATAATAGCGCTTCAGGCAACAATAGCAATCGTTCTAGTACAGGGCATCAATTGTTTACATTCAACTCTGAGCAGCAGCCATGGCTGAGTCGTCTGGGCTTCCAAGAATCACAGTGGAGGTCGTAGATCCAGCACAGAGAAGAAGACCAAAGTAGCTCTGACTTATACTCTTCAATCTCATTCGCACACCAGTACCCATTCAATCCACCAACGTCCCCTTCATAGTCTATTCCCTATTCTTCACATCAGCAACTATCGCCGAGGATGACAGTACGGATGAAGATGAGGATGAAGATTTGAGAAGAGCCATTGCTGAGAGCTTGGCTTTGAGTCAACTGACGCAATCACAAATCAACATCAAATTTGCCGTTAACAGCCTCAACAACGACAGCAGCGGCGACAGCAACAGCGACGACTATAACAGCAACGAGCGAACATTTGAGTCGGGACATCGGTCATAAATCGTCTACAACATTAGCCGGAGCAGCGATTCTGAGTGTGGCCCTAGTCAGAGCCAAGTCGAAGAGCTAGCCTTGTGAGCGAAATTGAGTTGATCATAGGAACAGCATTGGTGGGGTAGACGAGAGACTATGCCCACCTGTGATCTCAAAGTTGATTGAATTGAGCGAGTTACACGTAGTGTACCAAGTCAGAGAGTCTACTTTGAGTTGTGAATAACTCAAACTTGTATTTTTATTCCTTTATCTAACTAACCCTTAACTAAAGTTCAAGTGACTGTCCCTCCAAAAAAAAAAAAAAAAATAATAAACAGTCAGTGCTTGTTGCTTGCCATGTATTTTTTTTTTTTTTACCACACGCCATTATAAATCTCCCCATCCATCGTCGCATACTTCTTGTCAGTCTTCTACATTTACATAATAATACCGACGAGGGTACGTCTTTCTGACCAATGTGTTGCTCTAATATACACATCCTAGCCTTTCGCTTTATCTCTTGAGCCCAAAAGGAGGAATAATAATAAAAAAGAAGAGACACAATAACCAAGCTAATCATGGACTTTATCTATGTTGCAACTCATAAAAAACTGTAGTTATTGGCAGGTTATCAACCAACAATTTTGCTCATACAAAGTCAAGTAAGTCTAGGGTCCAACATAATATAGATTCATACAATATCAAAGATATAAATGTTTGGTTGATTTCATGAATAAAACCTATAATTTTGGCCTGGTTCGGAGCACTTGTTTTGCTTCACTATATTAACTCACTTTTTTTTTCCTATTATACTTATGCCTCATCTTATCAACGATTGGATCATTGGAAAACCAAATAAACCAAATAAAACCAATAAAAACCAATAAAAAAAAAATAAAAAAAAATCAGGACACCAACAGGGAATTTTTGCAGGAACGAATACAATGCGACGGGTCTCTGCAACCGTCAATCCTGCCCTCTCGCCAACTCTCGATACGCTACAGTTCGTGAGCAGAATGGAGTGATCTACTTGTTTGTGAAGACACCTGAACGAGCACACTCACTGCCAAGTGGGAGAAGATCAAGTTGTCCAAAAACTATGCACAGGCACTGGAGCAAATTGATAAGGAATTGATCTACTGGCCTAACTTTTCGATCCACAAGTGTAAGCAGCGTCTGACAGAGATTACACAATACTTGATCAAGATGCGTAAACTAAAATTGAAAGCGGATGAGAGACCCAAGCTGGTAGGGATCAAGAAAAAAGTTGAGCGGCGGGAGGCCAGGAGAGAAGCCAAGGCAGAAGCTGCAGCGAGATTAGATAAGGCGATCGAGAAGGAGCTACTGGATCGACTGAAGTCACATGCATACGGCGATGCACCCTTGAATGTACATGAAGATGTTTGGAAAGAAATTTTGGAAGGCGAGAAGGAGAACTAGAGATTGATAGTGATCAGACCGATGAAGATGACTCACAGTCAAAGCAGAGGAGGAAGAGGAAGAGGATGAAGAACGCGAGTTTGTTTCGGATCAAAGCGAGGATGAGGAAGATATGGAAGACATGTTTGAGAAGGAATATGAGGTAGGCAATCATTTAGTAACGCTTTTTTTTTTTCTTTTTTTTTATTCGATGCACCATCGTTTATATGGTATGGCTATATTAATCATAACATTTATCTTTTCAACGTAATTCTCTTAGCACGAGACTGTGGCTCTATAAACAATTTTTTTTTATCGTTTATCATCATTTCGACAGCCATACATACATATCCATCATAGCCACCGTGAAACATATATATACATATACTGCATTGAACGACAAATAATAACATTATAGCAAACAATGGCTTAAATGGAAACAGCTTGAAATAAAAAATAAATAAAAAATAAATAAATAAAAAAAAAAAAAAAAAAAAAAAAAAAAAAAAAGCTCATGGGAGCGTTCTGGTTGGAAATCTTGGATGTGATTTGTCTATCATTAATTTTTAACAATGAACCTTATTATCTGTTGATCTGTACGGTTTTTAAAGTTAGTCCGGAAATTCAGGGGCAAAAGATTAGAGAGGATGGAGACGAAAATAAACAGAACTTACAAATTTTTTGTGGGTGTGCCGGCCCAATATTGTGTCTAGCGTCGTGCGCGCTTTGCAGCCGGAGCAGGCGACTCTTCCGTGGGCTTGTACTTTGCAGGCCTCTCTTGTCTCTCAATTTGAGCAAGACCGATTCTTGCGATGTTTTCCACCCCTACTGCGTCCACGGTCGAAGAATACCTTACATGCCCGGCAATATTTAGAGCGAGGGTACACCGTCTCTAAAAAAGCTATCACAGAGGGTCGGGACAGCGGGCGTTGGTGTAAAATTCGTGCCGCTCCTACAGTGAAGTGTCCTCGCGCTTTGACCTAAGTGTTTCAAATGGCAGTCGTTTATTAGCAAGGGTTCTATGGCTTTCCAGCTTTCTTACTTTTTTTAAAAAAAAAGCCATACCTGTGTGACAAGATGTCTCGTTATAGCAGTGTGCTTGCTGGGAACTCCTTTACTACTTTCAAAGGACCCTAAGGCCGACGACAAGCACTCCTTTATCCCCAAAGCATCTTCAACACTCGCTGTACCGCGTAGTCGAACGTAGCTCGTTGAGCCTTTTCGTAGGTCCCATTTTTTTTTCAGATGCCATCTGGATTCGTAGAACTCTTGAAGCACATCCAAATTCGTTGATTCCTGTCTGTTCTTGAGACTCCCCGTTCATCCATTGAAAGTACTCATTTATACGTATCCCTTCCAAACACAGGGATGGCGCTCTCAACCTCAATCATTGCTTTTTCACGCTTCCTTTTGTTCTACAGGTAATTGAAGCGGAGGACAGGGAGGTACAAGAACCTGCTTCTCACCTTTACCGTTTGCCGCAAGTTAGGGTTGTGAGGGTCCAGCGAGGAAAACGTAAGGGCATTAACAATAACCAGGATCACATCCGACGATAGTTGTGGTGTTTGCGGATGGGCATCGCCCTGGTTTGTTGAATGTGAGCTCAACGTTTTCAAGCAGCTTGGAGCTCCTCTCTTCCAGTTTATGTTTGCGTAGTCTTCATCTGTTAGGGTCTTCACCGGCCGCCTTTGAGCACGTCGTGTTGAGAAATCCCTGAGAAAGCTCCAGTTTTTTGGCTGGGCCTTCTTTCATCTACGTCAGACTGCTGCTGTCTTCTTCGTCTGGGTTGTGTCATAGGCAAGTAGATTCAGAACTAGACCGTTGGTAGAAATCGTTCCTTTGAGTTTGAACCGAGTTAGATCTTTGTCCTGTGACTGCAGGGATACTTTGTCTTGATATCCACGAACCATGCGATCACCTCCAATGTCACAAAAGAGAGCCTGTATCAAAACCCCTTTTGTTCCCTGTACACACTCATACATTGCAGTCTTGGAAGGATTATTGAGAGGCAGAATACGCTCCAGCAGCTGCTTGGTATCTTCGTTCGCCCAGAGGATGTCAACTAGGGCGTGTTCAGACAGATACACATACCCGGGTGACCAGGGGACGTAGGAAAGTCTGAGTATTTTTTCACTTTTTTGTTCTCCCGCAAAAAAAACTCAATGTCGCTCATATCTTCGTTTGTTTTCTCGACATCAAACTAGAAAAAAAAAAAAAAAAAAAAAAAAGTCTGAATAAAAAAAAAAAAAAAAAAAAAAACAAAAACCATAAAAGCTATACCATTGCGTTCCTGTAGTGCTGCCTTAATGATGTCTGTACTTGGCCCATTAGTAGCTCTGACGCTCTTGGAAATGTGATCTTTTTGGGATCAAAGCCTTGACGTCCCCCAATGTGATGTCTATTTCCTTTATTGGGGAAAGTTCAGTGGTGGCCTTGAAATGTTCATAAGCGAGGGATGTGGGGCGTTTCTACCGCCTTTCCTTGTTTTTTTGCCCTCGCGTAAGCTGAATTGGGGCCACCTTGACCACTCAAAAGAAGGGTGGCGAGACGGAAGGAATAATCATTGCTATCCAAGACCTCGTCCAGTGCCTTTTTCCTCGACTTTGCTGCCCCTGGTAACCGCATGATCCTCTCAATGTCCAAGGCAATCGCCCAGTATGCATAGCGGCGTAGTCGGTTGAGGACAACAACTGCCCCTCGGATCTGGCTTGCAATACTATCCCTTTCATCTGCGTCCAGTCCGCCTTTCCTTGCCATGGAGGCCTTAAGGGACCCAATTGTTAAGGCCTTGATAGGGTCTTACTGCTGTAGCTGTGATCAACCTTCGTAGCATCCTTCAAGTTCCTAATTGGTGCACCTTCTTTTTTGCCCTGTGGGGCTTCTTGCCTTTGTGCTTCCGCTTTTGTTTTTTCTGTTGCTTCTTTTTTGCCTTTCTCCGACGTGGTGGATGCTTAAGGCCCGGCCTATCGTGCTGACGGCAGTTACTGATATCAACTGTGCGCCCATTCAATATGCTCGCCTTGTCAGAAAAGATGGGCCGGAACTGGTTCCTATGTGACCCTTCCGCTATATAGAATGATGGTCGCCTCTACATTATTCAAGAAAGGGACTAACGATTAGTATTGGGGACGTCTGGTTTCAAGGCCAAAAACTATAGCTTGAGCTTTCTTACGTTCTGCGGCGCTGCGCTCGCCTTTGCTGAGCCATTCTATGGCGAAGATCCTTTCCATTGAGTAGACGCTGCTTGAAGTTATCGAACTCATTGTTCGATGGTAACGCTTGGGCCGACGTTTGATGGCCGGAAGTAAAAATGCGGAGAGCTACACTGAAACGGCCTTCCTCAGAGGCTACGTTCCTTCCCAACACCTTACTAGCTTCCCTTAGGTAGCCGAAGCATTTTATTGTAGTTCTGTTCCACGCAACCTTTCGAATTAATCGAAGATTATTAACGGGCCTAACGTCTCGAGGTTCCTTGAGTAGTCATTGCCTGCGATGGCACAGAATAACACCAGATGCGCGTGTGTTGGCAGTCTTAGTGCTTGGATAACGTTGTCTACGTCGTAAACCCCAAACTTCCGTCTACGGTGCGGAAGGGGTCGCACTAGGAAGCAGACTCGTTCGTACGCAAAAAAATCAGAGTCTTGGGATATCACGATCCTATCATTCTCCTCATCATGGCACCCTATGCATGGGTCCGCTTCATATGCACACAGACAGACATCGAAGACAGAACTAAGGCCTGTTGCCAGCTGATCCTTGTCCTGGACGCTCAGGGTGTGGACTTCTCGAAGACCCTTCTGGATGCGCCTCATGACTTGAGGACGAGTCCATACCCCACTCCGAGAATTTCTCTCGAAGGTGCTCATATTGTTCTCCAAAGCGTCCATATTTTTTTGTCTTATGGCTTGCCGTTCTGTCCTTGCTTTTTCTTTCTCAGTACAAGGTTCCCCATCAATATGTATAGTCAGTTGTCCGTTGTGAAAAGATCCTTTATCTCGAGTGCCAGGGACCTTCCTACATCAATGATGGTTTCGTTTTTCATCTTTGCATGGACGACTCTGCGGAGGATGTCGTAATAGAACGTACCGAGGAGATCTAAATGAACAGAATGGTCAGGATTTGCCGCCAAGAAATGCCCACGTCAGTTTCCGAAGGTAAAACCCCGCGATCCGCAACCAGTTTGAAGAAGGACTTCAGCCCCATGGTCAATATCTAAGCGAAAAGAGAAAGAAAAAAGGAAAAATGGTGGTATGAAAAGAAATGAAAAAAAAAAAAAAAAAAAAAAAAAAAAAAAGAGCGACAAAGGTATAAAAGGATGAGCTTTTTTATGGTGTAAAGATTCAAAGCGAATAGATAAAGAATATTGAGGGAAAGATACAGGAACAAGTGGCAGTGGTAAAAGGGATGGGACTTTGAAGGAGGAAGACAATGATCCCTTTTTATATCCTGGATTGATGATGAGTTTTATCATTGTCTCATATAGTTTTGATATCGATCCTTTGCTTCACAGGCCACATCAATCTTTATTCAGTTCCTTTGTTTGGATTGGGGTTTTGTCCCAGTCAATAGCAGAGATTGAAAATAAATACAAGCTCTCGCATGAACGAGATTGGAAACAATAGCATTGAGATACCAAAGTAAGCATTCGAAAAATATATATAGCATATTATACTCGGTAGTTTCTAGGTGAGGCGGACCCACCTATGACTACAAAGGGCTTTGCGCAAAGATTCTGGTTCGACAGATTAGTGGATACAAAATAAACTGAAATTAATTTTAATGACCAGTCACGTCACACCACTTGCAATAACAAGCGAGTCAATTAGCTGCCAATACATTTAAGAGTATTCAAAAAATATAAGGGATCCCGACCAAATGGAACGGGCTATACTTTAATTTACTAGGTCACGTCTATGATGCACTAGAGATTTAAATTGTGAACTTGATCTCTGTTCACTTCCAATTTCTTCTAGGCCTTTGCTTTCGTTTCTTTCATTTATTATATCGATATTATTTTTTGCATTGCCATGGTCGCTACACGGTCCACACGTTCGTCGTTGTCTGCTGCGCTTTCACCTCCCACAGGGTCGACAGCCATTTCTCAGTCGAGCGGCCCATATCTGGTGTGCGACGTACCATCCGAGCATGGCGACCCCGGCAGGTCGTCTCACATACCGCCCAAGCACAACCTGTGGGGTTTGAAGAGGAATTACCAGGCCAGTGTGTGGAGGATGCGGAGGATGAAGAGAAGCTGTATGACAGAATCTACAGCTCCATAACGAATTCGCCCTACTTGATTTCCTTGAACAAGAAAGTGAAGAGAGGGAAAAGAAAAAAATTGGAGGAAAGAAGACGTCAAGAAGAGGCAACAAGAGTTGAGATTGGAGCAGACTAAACCAATTGGCCACCAATATGCTCTGTAGTGCACAGCAGTCAGTCAGTTATATTGGCCAAGATAGCCTTCAAGACCCTGAAGCAGCAGTCAAAGCCCATTATCCTGTGAAATATCTGAACAAACTTAGTCCGCCAGGCTTGCCTCTATTCAACTGGAGCTGAGAGTCGGTCAACCTGTCATTTATTTCGCAACTTGAGCCCAAAGTGCGGATTATGTAATGGCGCCCGCATGGTTGTATGTGCGTTAGACACAGGAATGATCCAGACTGAGAATACTAATGGGCAATATCAAGGAGAGCGTGCCTTCATTCTTCCGCATACCGCTTACAACGGTCGATGACCACTCTTCCCCAATCATGTTCTGCAGATTCCAGTTTCCAGTCAAGTCAGCCTTTGCCAAGACAATTAACAAGTCAAGGATAGACACTTAAACATGTCGGTGTTTATCTTCCTTAAGACGTTTCCTGTCATGCCCATCTCTACGTTGCCCTATCACGATGTACAGACCCAAACAATCTTGAGGTACTGATCGGAAACGGCAAGATAGAAGGCAAGGCTGGGATATACACGCGGAACATTATCTTCAAGGATGCTTTGTAGACGTTGCATATTTCACAGTACACGTGTTACATAAAAATTAAAATGTAATTCCCATGTAAAAATATAATATATTACTAACGGCTGTATATCATAAAACACGCCCCATGGATACCCTATCTATAGTGCCCGTAGACAAACTTGTAGTTATACTTTGACATGGATTTGAATAAATACCCCACATCTGATTCTCACTTACTTCTACTCCCTAGCTACTAGCTTGTCTAAAATTTTTCAGTAGAGACATTGTCTTTTGATCTTCGGTTGCTCTGCACTTCTTCATCTCGAAGTCTTTTTCAATTCACCACTCTGCTGCTACTCCGTTCAATGTTGTTTTTGCCAGATGCTCTCCCTCTTGGCTTTTATACACTTTGTATTTTGTACTTTATTATTAAATTTTCTGACGAGGCAAGACTGCACTGCTGTTTTCATCATTGTCGCTGCTAAAACGAATATCATTTAGTTACTGTGTCTCAATAAAGATACTTTGCTCATTTGCTTAAACTCATCATCCATTCCCGGGAGCTCGATGTACTCATTTAAACGTCTCTTAGCCTCGTTTTATACTATAATTGAAAGTAACTCTCGCCTACGTCTGTTTATTTCTCAGTATACAGTATATATTTTCCTATGCTTTTGTATTATTTAAATACACTTCATGATGGCAAAGAAACATCCAATAACTCGGTGGAGCCCGCAAATGCCTTCCATGGAAAGTATACAACCAAGGGCGATGAACAATATAGGGCGTGCGATCTAGTTGTTTTATTAAACGTATTGTCATGTTTCTGCTCCAAGTGTCAAAACTTAGTTTATTTTCCTTTCATCATCAACTACAAACGACTGCCTTACCAGGTTTGAGTGGTGGTGAGAAGATAAGGGAAAAGAATCTTAAATGGTGGCACTTGATCAATACAAAGGGTTCTATTTACTGACCTAACAATATTCAAAGTGATTGCCACTGATATAACAAAGTCCACAACATCAAAAACAACAACGAGACTTCGTAACATTCACGATCTCCTATCTTGAAATTGCTTAAGAGCCAATCCCAAGCCTAAGTTGTTATCTTCAAGCAAAATTTCCTGTGCTATTTTAGCTGCCTTAAGCTTCAAATACTCTTTACTTACTTCTCTATGTTGAGGTGGAGGCTTATGGTGCAGAGATCGTGGTAGTAATAGAAGAATTTGTTGTGGGATTTTAAAGATACTTCGCTAATACTTCTCTCTGCTACGTCTGATGCATCTGGTATTTTTCGTTTGCTTCGTTGCTTTGGGATTGTGGTCTGCGAAGAAGCCGCAGCGGTATCAGGCCTTGGAAATGCTCTTTCCCAGCCTTTTCCTATTGCACCCAGAATAAGGTGTATGTACAAAGGATCAATTAGCTATGACCAGTACAATATGATATATACAATATCAATTAGAAATCATCCAATACAACCCTCTAACTTCGTTCTGCGTCTTCATTGCCCATTCCGAAGCCATCATTTTAGTTAAAGGCTCTGGATGGGCCACCTTTAATCTTCATTAGGGTTAATCACAGACCTTGAGCTTTCTGATGAAAGTATTCTATCCTTGCACCACTCTGTATGGTCATAAAATGCCACCAATTCTTTCTTGAAATCATATACTGCTTTCAATTGGGAACTTGGTTTTGGTGTTCTCGAAAGTAGCCTGCGCCTTTGGTTGATGCTTTTAGGACCTCAGACATAGGAATGTATGTACTTAGTCATGATAATCTATGAAATGTTGTTATCTATGATTGCGTAATGGTTAGCAAACGCACTCAAGGACAACGCGAAGTTAATATGCGGAAACCGTACGCTGGGTATAAGTCATTGTATAAATGCTGGATACCTGTACCCACACGCAACATGCACCAAGATACAGTATGTTTTGACGCGAAGGCTCCTTACAGTCTTGCTCATTTCAGAGAAGAGAGAACCCTGCTAGCTAGGACAATACAAAGTCAGTGTGCATATCGAGCCAGAAGATAAAGCATGGCATCCCTCAAATTCCTTATACAGCCTTACTTACCTTTTGAGGAAAGTACCTTTCATTAATTTAACTATCACTACCTAAATATTCGTACTTGACAAAGTGATTTTGGACAAATGGTATGCAAGTAGGGGATCATTTTGAGCGTGAGTGCCATAAACAGTTCACAAAAAATGTATTGATTTAAAGGTGAAGGGAGGCAGAGACGCGTACAACCTTGGTCCTGTAAAGCACGTAACGAAGAAGGTCCGAAAGGCCATTCTAATATGTCGTGGAACCCTATCATAAAGCAAATCCAGGAATATCAGCTTGTTATTGAGCAGTTGGCCCTCAGAGATCAGGAACGCGCAAGACAAGTGATTAGCAACCTAGAAAAGTTGGAATGAAATATTGCGCAATTTTTAGCGTCCAGTAGCTTTAACATATCGCTTTCGACTTATGTATTAAAGAAATATACATGTTTTCGAATAAGGGCCTCTGAGGAGCGTATTTCTACCGAAATCGAATCATTAATAGCTTACGAGGTGCAGAAGGTGCTTCACATCGGTCAACACACACATATCATATGTAACGAAGAGGTAAAGGGCTATGAGGTGAGAAAGCGGATGGTGAGTATAATTAGGGAAAGCAGAGGGCAAAATAAGATTTTATTGCTTGTCCATAGTTTACGCGTTCTTCGTTGTGGTTGGCTGCAGTATGCACAGTTTGATTGTTAATCGATGTGGTGATTATATCCGCACTGTGCGCCACTGCCCCAAACGGTAATTGTAGCGCCATTCGGCACACGCATGTCGTGGATACTTATCTGCTCCTGGCCGTAAACCTACTACAAAAAAAAAATCTTGGCAGTGTGACGTCATTAGGCAACATTGTGCTCTAATTTGATGACCCGTGGCAGGAAAATCAGATCTGATCTTTCATCTGCTGCATCTTTTTGCCATTGTCCTGTTAGTATTTACTGCATTTCCATATTACTCCCAGTATATCGATATTCACAGACGGAGGGCCCCCAGGAGGACACAGGAGTATAATCAAGCGACATTAGCATAAAGGACGAGGAATCGCAAGACACTCTCAGCTCAATTCTTGGATAGTTTTGTTTTATCGATCTTTGACTCGCTTTAAAGCAAAGGTATAGAAGAATATCAGGCAAGAATGAATCGTCGTCAAGGAAACCAGGATCCTGAAGGCCGTGTGGGCACAGCAGCTTTACCACCATATCTATTACGTCTCTTTGCACCTCGCCCACCACTGCCCTATGCAAAGCCACTTGATCGTGAACCGGGCAAGAAAAATGAGTCACGGTTGATGGGCATAGCACAATACCTAGAGCATTGCAAAGACCATGATACAAATTATGTTCCAACACTGAGTATTGCAGAGCAGAAGAAGAAGAAGGTACTTGTGCTATATCATAACTAGAAAGACCGGCACAATCGAGATATCCTATATTCTTTGCATGTCAAGTGACATTTATCCTGTCAGGGACATCTTAAAAAATGCAGCTAATAACAAGACCTTTGGCCCTGCTTAAATAGATAGAAGAGCGCGAAAGAAAGGCACAAGAGGCACTCAAGAAAGGATTAGAATCATGTGAGGATAAACCTCGTTGTCGAGAATATGCATCTTTTTTACGCTTTTTTCATTTTTACCCTCAGAAATTTTAACATTTCAATCTATAATTTGTTATAGGGGATCCAAATAAGGACGAACTGGTTGTTGGTGATCCCTACAAGATTACATATCTCCCGGCTTGTATGACCACTGACGAGCTCTGCTTTCAATAATTGGTCGTGTTTGGTGTTTAGTACTAACTGTGAATTTCTTTTTCTTTGGAACACATTAATGAACGGGTAGAGCTATGACTGCACAGAAAGGATCTTAGAAGAGAGTTTTCGATGTATGGGAATATTGAAAATGTAAGTCGTATTACGTTTGAGTAATCAATGTTTATACAGGTGAATGTGTACATTTGAAAAGTATTTATGATACATGTTATTTAGCATGTAACAGCTTTATATTTATACGAATTGCTCTTTCACCCACAGATTAGAGTTGTGAGAGACAAGGAAGGGAAGTCGAGGGATATGCATTTATTGAAATTTGAGCGTGAAAAGGACATGAAGGCAGCAACAAGGATGCAGATGGTATCAAAATCCTCGGACGCCGTATTGTCGTTGATGTAGAGCGCGGTAGGACAGTAAAAGGATGGAGACCCAAACGCCTTGGTAAGTAATTTTAATCGTTTATCCGGACACATTCTGCCCTTATACCTTATCGCTAACAGACCACTGTCTATTGTTTTTTAACTTTATTCATATTTAGGAGGAGGCTTGGGTGGTAGCGTATTGGAGCACCTATCAGAATCAGACTTCTTCAGGAAGAGACAATCGTCATGAGAGGGAACGGGAACGTTCTCGTGGAGGTGATTATCGGGATGGGCGTGGTTATGGAGGACATGGTGATAGAGACCGGATTGATAAGCGCCGACATGATGATCGCAGTCGAGGCGGCTATAGCGATCGATCGTACGAGCGCGACTCCAAGAGACGCAAGAGTAGGAGTCGCTCTAGAAGTCCAGGCATTTCGTCAGTAGGGGGATTGGCGGAGATTATTCAAGGAGCCGCCGTGGCAGCAGGGATTGATCTCTCGGCTTGATCGCATTAAGGAAAGATAAGACAACGACACATAAGCTCGCTCTCTTAGCTTCTATGAAACAACCAGGCAAGCCTTAACGTCGACAGCCTTGCGACATCCTACAAATTTTGCTCTACTCACCAAAAATATCGTCCAAATGAAACACACTCAAGTCATTGAAAAAAAAAAAAAAAAAAAAATAGGCCTATCCCCCTTCCCTTGGGCTGCTGACCTCTGCCTCTTTCTTTCTATATTGTTCATATAATGCCATCGACTGGTTTTCGGTCTCTATGCGAACCCGAGCAAAGAATGGTAATAGAAAAAAAAAAAAATGAAGAAAAGAGGCAGGTGAACTGCCAGGGGTATATTTATTTATCAATCCTGCATTCTTTTATGCAATCAAAGTATTGTCGTTGCTGTTACTCTGTTATTGTCATTGCTGTTGCATTTCCTTATAATGTCTATACTACTGTTTCCTTGGGTAAAGTATTTCGGGTATGGTATCATTTGGATCCAACCGAGAGGTGAACTTGCCTGTCTGCTACCCAAGGTATGATCCCCGACATCGTGAAATGAATATTAAGTCGCGTAACATGGATTCATGTTTACTACTGGTGGGTTGAGTATATTTGTTTAAGGACACCACTGGCAACCTGTAGATATAGTGTCATAGTTGTTCCCATCAATATACTCCCCATGCATTGTTGTCGTTAAAACCAGCATCGGACATGACTGCTGAAATTGAGGTAAATAATCCCTCCGATAAAAAAAAAAAAAAAAAAAAAAAAAACGCCCAGGTCCTTCACACATTCTCTTTTTACAATTTCATTTAGCCATGTTTACATTGCAATGGAGGAGTCTAAAGCTTGGGAATGTTCCCTCTGTGCTCAAGACTAGATCAGCAATTGGAAAAGGGCAGCTCCGACTCTGTAAGACTCACTATATTAGTAGGCTTGATAAAAAGTAAAAAAAAAAAATAAGGCATTGAAAAGAACACTAACTCTCATTAGTCTGACTTTTGCTTTATTATTACTTCTGGCATGCAGCTTCAACAGTGTTCGAAAAGCGTGCTCAGGCATTTACTCAGGAGAAAGTTAGGCAGGAAGAGCTGAGAAGGAAGGCTATCAGGGATGGATCTCAACCTACCGCAATTGAAATTCTGCTTCCTGACAATATCAGAAAGATCGGCACAGCAGGATTACCACACCACTGGAGATCGCTCAAGGTTAGGATCTAGGAACTACTTAGTGAACAAGTGAAGGCAAGGTTATATGGGCAAGTCATTGACACAAATACTTTTTTAGGCATCTCTGGGAAATTGGCCAAGAACACTGGTTGCACAGCTAAATGGCACCACATACTGGGATATGACCGACCATTGGAAGAAACATGTCAATTAGAATTAATTCCCTTCCAAGAGAATAACGACCGCCTAACTTCGCTATTCTGGCATTCATCTGCACATGTTCTTGGCATGTCTCTTGAGGCTAAATATGGACCACGCCTTCTTTTATGTGATGGCCCTTCTATCAAGCAGGGGGGTTCTTTTATGAATTTCTGTTGACAAAGCCTGGCAGGACCTTTCAAATATTCCATATCTGAATTGTTGAAACAAATTATCCTTCCCATCAATTCTCAAAAGAAGAAATTTGCCGATATCCAGAAAACTGATGCTTCAATTTGTTGCTCAGCGATTGCCATTTGAACGCTTGTCTGTCTCACAAGAATTTGCTTACAATTTATTCCCAGAGAACAAATTCAAGCAACATTTTATTGAGAATATCCCTGCAGATAACGAAATCACGCTCTACAAATGCGGACCTTTTGTTGACCTTTGCAGAGGTCCCCATGTTCAACATACAGGACAATTACAGGCGATAGAGATCTTGAGGACTTCGAATGCTTATTTTATGCCAGAATTGGATCGGGATCCAAAATCGCCAAACACTGACTCGGATGTATGGGATTGCATTTCCTGTGCCAAAGAATTGAAACAATGGCATTATCAGAAAACTGAAGCTGAAAAGAGGGATCACCGTATTATTTGGCAAGAATCAGGGGCTATTTGCAACACATCCAACAAGTCCAGGATCTGCGTTCATGTTGCCACATGGAACTAGGATTGTAGAGAAGCTGATGCGGTTTATGAGACAGCAATATCGCAAATATGGCTTCGAAGAAGTGATGACCCCATTGATGTACAAGAAGGAGCTGTGGGAGACTTCGGGACATTGGCAGAACTACAAGGACGATATGTTTCAGGTCCAGCGTGGATGTAGTCATGGACATCACCATACTGGAAATTCAGAATTAGCAGAAGAGCATATGAAGTATTTGGACTCAAGCCAATGAATTGTCCTGGTCATTGTTTGATTTTTGATATGTCGAACCGATCATATAAGGATTTACCTATTCGCTATGCTGACTTTAGTGCTCTTCACAGGTATGCTGCTATCATTAGCTTTAAAGTCCTCCTCATATTTTTGGTCTTATGTTTTATTATGTTCTAACACTGCTCTTCCTTCGTCTGTATCCATTGCCACGATCTAGAAATGAGGCCATAGGCTCTTTGACGGATTGACCCGTGTTCGACGTTTTCATCAAGATGACGCCCATATCTTTTGTACTCGCGATCAAATCTTCCAAGAGATCCGTTCAACGCTATCCTTTGTTGATACTGTATACAGAACTTCCGTTTCCCATCCTATGAACTTGCACTGTCGAACACGCCGCTCACCAACTATATGGGCACGACTGAAGACTGGAATGCCGCAGAAGACTCACTCCGTCAGGCATTGGACCAATCGGGGCTCTCCTGGTCTGTTAATGAAGGCGATGGTGCGTTTTATGGACCCAAGATTGATATTCTGGTCAAAGATGCGCTCGGTCGACGGCATCAGACTGCTACGATTCAATTGGACTTCCAGTTGCCACAGAGATTTGGATTGGTATTTCAGGATCAAAAGGGTGAGAAGCAGACTCCTGTGATTGTACATCGTGCAGTGTTAGGAAGCGTGGAGAGAATGATGGCGATTTTGATTGAGCATACAGGTGGCAGGTGGCCATTCTGGATCTCACCAAGGCAGGCCATGGTTGTGCCAGTGTTTGGAGGCAAAGCTGCAGAACAGGGAACAGTAACAGTAGTGATGAAGGTTACAATGGTGAAAAAAGTGAAAGCACAACAAACCATGGCGAATCATTAATAGGATATGCCGCCTATGTCAAAGAGACCCTGGCGAAAGCAGGACGAACGCCAAGTAATACATCAAAGTATGCTATAGGCAAGCAGTTAGAAACTGGAAAAGATCCCGTTGTTGCGATGGATGACAAGCACTACTTTGTGGATATTGATCAATCAGGAGGAACACTCAACAAAATGGTCCGAGATGCACAAGTAGCTCAATATAACTTTATTTTAGTGATTGGTGAGAAAGAGAAGGAGCGGTGCACAGTGAATGTACGGACGAGAGAAGGAGAACGATAGGTGAGATGACAATACCAGAAACTCTCAAGTTATTCAAGGAGCGTGAAGACTTGTTTATGTAGATAAAAGAAGTAATAAAATAACGTTACAATGATTACATTAAATATATACACTTTCACTCCTTTCACCTCCACTAAAGGACCCCTCAAAACCTCGGGTGTGTCCACCGTTGTGACAATCGTTTGAAGACAATGTGGATCCAATGAAGGTTGCTCTTGCATATTTCAGCAGATATTTTAAATTTCTTTTGGCTAAAAGTATGTGTTTGTCAGCAATTTTACTCCCCAAATTGGCCAAAGATTAAAATTTCCGGTGTATTTATCTAAATGATCTGGACCACCAAACATCCCACCCAGCAAAAATGCCAATCGGGTGGTATCACCCAAGCTACTTTTGTGTAAAGCCATGTCTCTCTAATTTTGATGAAATATCAAAATTATAAAAGCAAAGTATTCTATCCAATCAAAAAGAACTTTAATTTGAATGTAAAAACATGTATTCCTTCATACTATAATAATCTTTGCCTTCATCGTATCATTGAGGTTTCCTAGAAAGTAGACTCTTTAAGAGATTCCAGTTGAGCTTCGTGATGACATAATCGCGAGAACGATCCCCTAAAAAGCCGTTTCATTGCCGATAATAGCTCCAGATCATGAAAGCGAAGAGAACTGTGAAGGTGATATAAGTCAGCTAAAAGGGGACGATACACAACAGTATCAAAGGAGCCGCAATCCATCTAATTATTTACAAGAGCCTTCCTGCGTACTACTGTCGTGTAGGTCGTCCCTGCGAACTCAAAACTGGCGCGTCCTGGATACTTGTTCTTTGCGAAATTTTTGGTATCAACTAAAAGTTACCTGGCTCAAACCTCTGTGTGCATAGCTCTTTTTGAATTAAAAGTAAAAAACAAGTATTTATTTACAAAAACAAAGAACACTGTATACTACACTACACAAAAAAAACGTAATAAAAAGAAAAAGAAAAAAAAAAGAAATTGAAAAGGCAGCTTGTTCTCAAATTTCCTCATAAACATTCAAGTCATTGTCTATAAATAAGGGCTCATCTCCGCAGCTTTCATCTTCGCCAAGGACAACACCGTTTATAGTAGTGCCAGCTCGTGCTTTTTGTGATTGGTAATACCGGGCAGTCTTGGATGTCGGAATCAAACCTCCTGCACTGATTCCGGCCATGGCAGCGATGCTACCTATGCTTCCGATATTGGAGAGACTTCCGGCCACCCGTCGTTGCTGCTGTGCTATATATTGTGGCGAGCATCAGCGTAAGGGTACGCGTTCCATGTATTCTGATAGTTAAGCCACCGTCGCTTCTCGGCCCATTAGTGGTCTCACCCACTGGATTTTGGTCAATGACAAAGTCATCGTCGTCACCCATACCTGGGGTTGAGGCAGTTGTTGCTCCAGATATAGTAGGCCGCAATGACCGCAACCCTACCTCATTGTCTTTAACATTCTTCCACGCCTCTTGCAGGACTTTAACACCATGTTCATGCTGCACACCAAAACCCTTTCGCAGCCACTCATCCTTGACTCGTACAACAACATGAACTGATGGCGAGGAACTATCCTTACTGCCAGATTTAGAAAGTGGTACAGCAATACAGCAGACAAAAGCGCCCAGTGGCGCTTCGATGAGGGTCACTAGCCCACCAAATATCGGTCAACGCTGTCTTGCTCCAGTTCTTGTACTTGAACCATCCTCCCATACCCCCACTCGAGCTTCCTCCGCCTACTTCGGATGGAAGAGTCTCAACGTCTGTGATTGATAACAATGGGATTGTTACAGGTGTATTGAGGGGGAAATAAAATGCATGAATAGTGAGATGCAGAGAACTAACTGTGATTTGATCGTCGCTGTAGAGAATTGATGGCGGTGGAGGTGGATAGCTGGATATTGATATGGATGGAGACGCGATGCTTGCTGACGCAGATGGTGAGGCGAGCAATACATCTTGACCAAGTTTTTCTTGTCGATCTTCCTTGGGTGATAATGACAAAGACGGTTGTTTTCCCGCCTTCATTTCACTCGGTCGCTGTGTCGGCTCTGTCAGGTCAGGTTGAGCCTTTGATTGTGATGGAAGTTGCGCTCTAGGCTGTAATTGTGGCTTCGCCTGTGATTGTGGAGGTTGCGGATTTTGTGGTGATTTAGGTGGGATAGCATCTTTAGTTGTACCTGGTACTGGCTTCTGAGATGCAAAAGAAGTGGCAGCAACAGCCAGTTTTGACGGTTGTCGATAAAAACACTCATCACTATCTTGCCACATCGACAGTATGGGCTGGTTCGGTTGCATTAAAGATGACAGAGTGTCACTGTGTGTCCGAGGCTCCAAAGCTTCAGTGTCTAGTACAGATGTCAGCGGCTCCGGCATATAATGAAGTTCTTGTTGCCGAGAAATACAGGTGGAAGGGGAAGAAGAACTTGAATGAGCTTTAGGCTGATTATTTTGTTGTTGCTGTCGTTGCTGTTGTAATTGCTCTTGTTTTTGTTGCTGTTGCTGTTGCTGTTGCTGTTGCTGTTGCTGTTGCTGTTGCTGTTGCTGTTGCTGTTCTTGATGACGTTGCTGCTGTTGCTGTTGCTGTTGCTGTTGCTGTTGTTGCTGTTGTTGCTGTTGTGATGTTGTTGATGTTGTTGATGTTGTTGCTGTTGTTGATGTTGTTGCTGTTGTCGTAAAGACTGTCTTTGGGGTGGTGTCGGCGCTGGGGCTGGCATTGAGGCTGGTGTTGTAGACTCAATCTTTTCGGACTGCCCCCGTTTTACTAGCGGTGCAGGACATTGAGCATTCAGAGCCCTGACAGGAGTCTTCACCTTCAATTCCTCTGGTCCTAGAGTCGGAGCAAATTCGATTTTAGGAAACATGTTCATTGAGGATGAAGGAGACATAGAAACTCGATTAGCAGGCGATCCTGACGATGAATGTGGCAACGATGACTGCAAATCCTCAGGCAAAGTTCTTTGCAAAGAAGGAGACGTTGGCGACGCCACTGAAGCAGGCGACGATGATGGGGATGATGACGATGTGGGGATATTCCACCCCCTACTGTCCCATGCAACCCTAAAGGAGTGATCATGGATGTTGCAGGGGATGCTACCGATTCAGGTGATGGGTCTGAACTTGGCACGGCACTCTTTGCACCGCCCTGAGACGTGCTGCGGGGCGGTGTGATTCTAGCGAATGAACCTGTGCGCGCAAATACAGAGTAATCGGTTGAGACGGTTGGAAATGCTGGTAGCTGCGCTAACGTTGAGGATGCTGATGATGAAGAGGACAAAGAGGCAGGAGAGCGCGATGATGAACGATGAGATGGCGAACTTGGTAGTGTACTCTCTAAAGACTTGAAAAAGTCTGTAGAACTATCGTGATATTGCTGTGCCTGTCTCGTCGCTTGCTTCATCGTCTGTTGTACTTGCATTTGCTGTTTTTGTTGTAATTGCTGCTGCTGCTGCTGTTGCTGCGGCAGTGACGATAGCTGTGATGGTAGCGGTGGCTGCTGTGAAGCTGATATCGACTGTTGTTGTTGTGATGATTGCTTGTCACGAGACGATGAGATTGATCTTTCTATCGGTCGCGTCGGTGGCATAGAAAGGGAATCAAGCGAGGGCTTGAAAAGGTCATCGAGCATGCTCAGCGAAGGGTCCTGAGGCATATTCTGCGAAGAAAGTGTCCTTGGGGTACTGGTGTCTTGAAATCACCTAGAAGTTGTGGTGTCGTAAATGGCGTGGCCTTCTTGGAGAAGCCTCGTTTACTGGGGCTACTGTCGCTACTGAGGCTATTACTGCCACTGTTATTATCCCGGTGGTGCTGCTGGCACTACTTGCACTACCAGTACTGCAAGTCATAGCGGTTATAGATCCGTCTCCAAAGTCTACTAAATATGGCTGAACGGGCTCCGAGTTCGTGTCGACCATGTGGTCATCCTTGAGAGCCTTAGTGAGCGTTGACTTGATGGTGCCGATGCTATTGCTGCTGTCGCTGCTGCTATTCCCAGTGCTATTGCTAAAGATATCTGAGCTATAGCCTGTACTATTACCAGCAATGCGTTGTTGCTGTTATTGTTGCGGCTACTGACATGAGTACTACTGATAGCAAGTGTATTCTCGTGTCTTGGGTCAACGACCTTGTGATCATTCCTGTCAGGCTTGGCAATGACTGCGGATGAAGAACGGGCCACAGCTGTTTTTACGCCTGTGTTACCAGGGTGACTACGTATCCCCGAATTGAGAGTGCTTGCGCCCAAGGAGCCCATAATGCAAAATCCGAGTTGAGGGTGAAGGCTGGTGTTGATACTGAAACTGCTGAGGAAGCTGTGGTAGTTGAGAATGCAATGATTTAAAGGGCTGTTGTTGATGCTGGTGCTGGTGCTGTTGGTGCTGATGAGAGATATGGGAAAATGAAGGACTGGATGTAATGGGTTGGGCGCAGTACGTGGTGGACGTCTAGTGGCGGTGGAAGACTGTAAACCTGCCTCATGTCGATACTCGTGCGACTGTTTGAGCAGCCTGGCTGGATTGTTTGCACTGAAGAAAAAGGAAAAATAGATGACTAATGGGCCCAATGAGCTGTTAAAGGCCTTCTGGAAGCAAAGTATGGGATAAAACAGAGAGAATATGTCAGTGAATAGGGTACGTATGAGTGGGCTATGGCGAACAGTAAGAGAAAAAGAGTGCGAAAGAGAAATGGAATGAGCTTTTATATTGTGTGAAGACTACCCTTTTTGGCACACATACGAAGAACTAAAGAACAGCTCCCTCTCACTCTCTGACCCCACCTTGAGGCTGAGTAGATAGCAGAACAACTGATATCGAAACAGCCGATGATGATGGGACAAAAAGGGGAGGAAGAAAAAAGAAAAAAATGCACACTTTGAACAGGATGTGAGATGTGTAATGTGTAATGTCAATTGAATTGCTTGTGTCTATGATGCTCAATGTAAATGAAACAAAAAAAAAAAAAAAAAAAAAAAAAAAAGACTTAGTTGATATCGAACAAATTCAATGTGACCCAGGCAGGGTCAAGAGACAAGAGAGAGGAGAGGAAGAGAAGGGGCGGGAAAGGAAAGGAGAGAGAGAGGAGAGGAAAGCATGACTCTTGGATTATTACAACGGTATAATAAAAGGAACGCTATGCGAAGCATGCATAAACATGTTATTAGAAAATGCAATACAAATAATCAAAGAATATGTGCAGACACGTAGTCATGCGCTATCCTTGACGGTAATGATGCTCTTCCATGTCTAAAAAAACTTCCTTATTTACATACTTTAAACGCACAGATCACGTCCTGGGAAAAAGCATTACGCCCAATCATAAAATCATTACTCCCAGACTACTGGATGTCACGCTCCTGCTTCTCTGGGCCCCCATATCTCCATCCTCTATCTCCTTCTTATCCTATTTTTTCCTATTTTCGTAAAATGTATCAGCTCGTCTCTGGGATTACAATGATCTTCGTCTACATTACTGTTGTCGCTGTTATATCTCAACTTCAGACCCTCATTCACTCCTCCTTACTCTAACCATCATTATCGGTGTCGCGAAAATCTTTTGCTGTCTGAATGTTTATTCGATTGCTTTTTGAAATAAAAACGCGTTTATTCAGTCTATTCATTAGTAACAGTCATCGATAGCTACGGAAAAGGTCAAGTCTGATCACTATCATAATATCATGTGTTGTAGAATTTGCACAAGGCCCAGATCAATATCAACAACAAACAATTAGCGACAATCAGAAGTAGGAAGAAGAACGACCATGGGGATGTGTTTAGTTCGGCGAAACAGCCTATCAAAGTCAGCTGTTGGAATGGATTAGCATAACACTACATCGATATTGTTCCGATCTCGAGTCAATCAAAAGTGTGAGCACCATGTGCTTCCAGGCTTTGATGCAATTCCATTACTGATTGAATACAACTCGTGCAAGTAGTAAGTAATTGTCAAGAAACATCATAGAACTAGAATTTATGGCTGGGATGACAAGGCATTGGTTAAATGACATCTCGGCAGGGATCAGACTATAGAGTTAACACAAAGCGAAACAAGAAGACTACAATAGTTACTACAACACGGCAACTGCAATTATAAACCATCGTGATAGTATGCTTTTCGAACGGTGGCAACGGCCCTACCTTGAATTTTTAAAGCTAGGATATCAAGAGCAGTGTTATGGAATCATCTTCAAATCGACATCAACCTCTGATTGTCAATAAAATTTCCTTGCCTTGTTTTCCTCCTTCACATTTCAAGACAAAAACGCCATCGTCTTTGCCTTAAAACTGATAAAAGCCCCGTGATTGTCGTCAGCGGTACGATCTATTGTCAGTGGATCCAGTTAGATTCAAATAACTGTCCTTCCATTTTCTTCTCAAGATGTGCAGGCATGTCCGCCACCAGCCATCACTATCATAAGAGCCATGGGATTGATGCTATCCCACATCTTATACCTCTGATAAAATTCCTGGCCAAGATAATGACATGACAGCAATGAAAAGGCCTGAAGAGAGGTGGCACTGTAATATTCACCGACTTTCCAACTCATTCACGATATACCAAAGTTATTGGAGATGAAGTGTATAATTAAGAGGTGATGCTGATGGTGAGAGAAATGGGGTATGAATTATACCAGAGACAGGATATTGTCAAGGTATTCTATATGATTCTGATCATCTCGACTCGATTAGACTACAAGAAAAAGGAATGTATACCTCATGACATTCGTCGTTGGATTGATTGATATGAAACAATGACAACAACACCAACAACAGACATGAAATTATGTAAAAAAAAAAAAAAAAAAAAATTTACTCAAAGTCTAGTCGCTGTCTATTTAATTTATTTACCCTTGTAGATGGGCTTCCTCTTCTCACGGAAAGCAGCAAGACCTATTTGAAACTTCATCCAAAGATTTGTAAATTCCACTTCACAGTACAACACACACTACTGAATCTATTTTGTTTCCTCACCTCCAAACGATCCTCTGAAGGCATGATTGTGCATAACAAGCCTGCTCATACTCCAATCCAGAATCGCTAAAGAACACAGGACAATGTTAGATAGTTGATCAATTTGCATCTAATAACTTTAAAAATGATAAATATATATATCACAGCTTAATTTACATTTCGAACTGGGTGCCTTTATCAATAGCAGACTTGCCATACGGATAGCAAGAGGTCCATGGGTAGGATCTCACGGCTATTTCCAAGGCTTTGTCATATCCTGAATCTTCCATAACAGCATGGTTCAAGATGCCTGTGTATAAAATAGAAATAAGGGTGAGAATATATTAGATTTCTAGAAGAAATAAATTAAAAAAAAAAAAAAAAAAAAAAAAGTAAACATACCATATCCTTGGCTGTGGCCGAGTCCAAGATCTTAGACGCGAAATGAGTTCCTTAGCCTTGGGGATCCCAATTAAACGGGGAGCGTGCTGCCGCCGGCTAAAAAAAGGAAATAGTCTGTAAGAATCTTTTCTCTTTTTTTTTTTTTTTTTTTTTTTTTTGTTTTCCTTACCCAGGAATGATCGCAAGTCTTGTTTCGACTAATCCAATCTTAACTTTCTTGTTGCCACCTCCGACTCTCATGTCACAAGCAGAGTGCCATCTCGAGACCGCCTCCAAAGCAGCACCATCAATGACAGCAATCGTGGGATGGGCAACGTCTCAAGATCACGGAAGCTATCCCTTAAATTGGCTAGGAACTGCTTCACCTCTGTCAAGTTCATTGTGGAACGTTCCTACAGAGTATAAAAAAAGGTAGAGTTAAAGAGGTGGTATGAATGATGAAAGGAATATTACTATCACTTATAAATATTCAGGCCAAACATTGAAAACATACTCTGAGATCTGCGCCGGCACAGAACGCGCCATCTACCAGACTTCTGATGATGACGGCCCTGGCATCTCTATGATATGCATTTATATAAAGCCACCATCATGTCAGATAAATTAGTAAACAAAGTAAAATAGACAGATGTTGGCCAAATACTAATTGTTTTTGTTGATCTATTGATTACTACACGCTAAAGTAAAACAGATCTTTCATATGCTTTTGTGTATTTTTTTTTTCCTTTTTTTGCTTTCTTGTTTCCTTCGTTTTCCTACTTACTGGTCGTAACGAAGCTCCTGAAGTGCTTCACGGAATTCACGAACAAATTTACGCGAAAGAGCATTATAGGCCTTAGGACGGTTAAAGTTGATAACGGCGATACCTATAAGAAAGCGGCGTATAGATATGGTCAATGTGGAGCGCTAATTAGCTATTGGGGCTATTGACAAGAACATATTATATTTTCACGATGTGGTTGATGGTCGTGTGGTCGTGTTGGCAATTTTTTTTTTTTTTAGCAAGAGATGTTCCACCCGTGGGAAAATTTTGGTCATTGAAATTAAACGGATTGTTGATTACCAGTGTCATCTCCTCCCAGTCGCTCGAGAAACAATCTTTGTCCTCAGAATAAGTAGCTGATGATGAAGTAGTGTTAAGAAAGCGAATGCTTTGGAATGTAGCAACCTTGGCGACAGGAGCGCGAGCGATGCATTGGGTTGGACACTGCGTGCGATGAATGTGCGAAGCATGATTGCGATGTATGAAAGTGAAAAGTAAGAAAGAAAGAGGGTTTGGTGTGCAAAAAAGTAAGTAAAACTTTTTTTAGCTTTACTTTACAACCAACCGCAATTGCGTTACTTTGTAGATCCATGGTACGTATAAATCATATCTATCAATTCACCCATCCAGAGTACCTATAAAAATGATGTTTACTAAACCGTTTGCTATAAACAATATATTTCTCTTACAAGGACAAGCAACCATTCTCACCTGCCCTTTCATTTCGAAAAGTTGACTTCTAAATATTTAAGGCCTGCGCACCACCCCTTTTCGCAAGGCTTTCAAAGATGCTCTTCGCATTACGGACACTGTGGACGCTCTCTTGGCTCACCACCCTTGTGGTCGTCATCATGTGTATTACAAGATCTCACAATCTCTTTGTTCCCATTCTCTGCCAGCTCATGACTCATCTTCCGACGAGGGGTCGGTCGGAGCGATCTAGAGGCCGTCAACAACGAATATGCGCTACAGGCACCCTGGGCCTCGGCATCATTGTGTCCTCGGACCACATGTGCGATCGTATCCTGATTCTGCTCTTCTACGTTTTTGAACTTGCGGACCATTTCCTTGACACTGCATTTACGAAATCCTCCTAGACGGTTAGGATTGGCAGCACCCCCAAAGAGCTTGATCCGCTCGGCAATAGAATCTGTTTTTGGGATCTCGACAGCAAAGCTTTGGTCGCTGCAGCTGCCTCTTCTGCAGCCTGCTTCTTCTTGAGTGCTAAACTGGCTGCTGAAAGGCTACGAGTCTGAACGTATGTGGGCGCATCAGGCTTGAATACATGGTTAGGGACGTCAGAAGCTATCAGCCCCGGCTCATTGCTCATCGCCTTGGCAGGAACAACCATCGCCATAGCCTCTTCTTCCTGTGGATCTTCGGTCAACTTGGCTGTTTTTTCAGTCAATTGACCGACGTTCTCTATGGCCTCTTCCTCCTCAATGCGCTCTTCAAGCTTAATTTCTTTTTCCTCCTCTTCTTCCACATCCTCAAGTTTTTCCTCTGCTTTTTCTTCGATCTCCTCACTCTCCTGATCCTCTTTCTTTTCCTCCTCTTCCTCCTCTTTCGTCTCTTCCTTCTCTTCCTTTTCTTCCTTCCCTCCCTTTCTCTTTTTCTTCTTGCTCCTCTGTATGCTTGAAACCGCCCTTGGCTCCCACTTTTCCTTCTTGGTCCTTTTCCTTTGACCCCTCTGGGGCAACGACCGGTTTTTCATCCAAAGAGACAGAATTATCGATATCAGAGATCAGGAATTGGTTGTCAAAGCCGAGGCTGCCATCCGTGCTAGGACTCAAAGGAAGGGCCTCTAAAGAGCCGTTGATGTCGTTGAAGTTGTTGTTGGCTGACATATTGAAGTATTGAATCTTGTTGTTGGAGTAGCTAGAGTAGCTAGAGTAGCTGGAGTAGCTGGAGTAGATGAAAAGAAGAATATTTAAGGGAACAAAGGGGAAGTATATGCTAGAAGAGTGCAAAGCAGGTTCGTTCTTGTTTCTTCAAATGACAGTTGCTATCTCAATTTATATTGTTTATTGGTTGTAGCTATACCTTTAATGCTGTTTAACTGTCTATTACCAATTCTTATTATGACTGTAGTATTGGGCAGGGAATATCGAACGTTTGAAGAGCTAGTCTGATTTTCAACCTGATGATTTTCTGAATGCATTGGGTCATGGTACATTCAACTTTTTTTTTAGTGTAAGATCGAACATTCGGCGTGGCTACAAGTGACAACTATATCGGCTACTGTCAACCAAGGTAACCCTTATAAAACATCTTTCCAATTGGCCAGAGAAATATGATCATCATCGCTGGAATATAAGATAAATAGAGTAAAAGAAAATCATCCTTCTAATCGTTTTTCTTTATCTATACACAGTACAAATGCCTCATCATCCGTCTATCCACCCTCAAAAAACAACTTTTTTGCGCTGTAAATAAGGATCTGCCAGAAGGGGTATTCGTCACTGGGCTAAAAAGGAGGAGGGAAGAGGACTTTATGGATATGCGTATAGAGTTATTACTAGGATATGTACTGCTGTGAAGTAACAATTTGTCCTGAGTCCTCAAATAATCCTGAAGGAGAATACCCTTTATTGGTCTTCATGAAAGACTTCAAACATTCTGTTGTGTTTCCTTTCTTGGATGCGCCACCAAAAAAAAATACTATTTTGTAATAAGTCACAATAAAGGTATCACTCAACCTCTCTTAATGAAGCAAATAAAACTGAACTGACACAATAAGCTTGTCGAAGTTCCTTTTCTTTCGCCTTCTTCACGATCCTATACTCCTTAAGCCTCATCATAATCATCAACCTCATCACTCTCCTTGTTTAAAACTCTTCTATATCTTACTGTTTTCCTTTCTTCACAATAAAAAATAAGTCTCTCAGACCCTCTTGATCATAACTGGGACTCTTCACCCAACCACACCGAATACCTTGAAGCTTCAAAACTTCTTTTACAGCTTAGCAACAATAACATCACTAAGATGAATGCCTCTAGTAGCAGCAGTAGTGGTAGTAGTAGTAGTAACAACAGCATGAATACGTCTTTCATGTCATCTGTTGGCGAAGTAAGAACTTGCAAGTTTGCATGCAAATTACATGTCGGAAAAAAGAAAAAGCCTTACTAATGAATTAGTTTCGCCTTTTTTTTTTTTTTTTTTTTTTCTTCTTCTTCTTCCCTTTAGTCCTCTACTAGCAATACAGTTCATCATCAAATATGGACAATATAATCGATTTAACAATACCTACGCCTGCTCGGATCATTCATCCCAGGACCTTACCAAGTGAAAGCGTCGAAATCATTGACATTCCAAGCGATGACGAAGCACCACCCTTTCACTTAACTTTAACCAACGTTCAGGAACTACGGCGTCCAGATGGAATAATATTATAACCTTTATTGATGAACACGACACCACAAATAGCGCAAGCAGCAGTTCTAGTAGCAGTGTCCCAACAACAACAACAACAACAACAACAATAATGGTGCCACCAATGTTAGATACGATGACAATGATGATGTTCAAATTGTAGCAGAAATTCCTGGACGTTCTTTAGATCCCTCCAATCCTTCTTATGCAAATGGATCTTCTACAAGTAGGAATGCCACTAGGGCAACCACGGCAGAAGACCTTCCCTATTCCACCTCTGTCCCTCAATCCCATCCTTTGTCTTTCCCCAGCCTCTTCGATTTCTTTGAAAACAATAGCAATCCCTTTTCTCGATCAGAAAGACCGCAACAACAAAGCGATCGACGTCGTCCATCGGAATCAAGGGTAGCTGAAGGTGTTATGGAACATCGTGATAGGATTTCAACACCTGAAATGGCAACATCAACTACTGCAGGAAGAAGTGGAGTAAATACTGGAGGACGTGCCTCAAGAAGATCCCCATTGCGGCCACGGACGCAAACACCAATCGGCCGGCAAAACTATCCAGAGCATACAACACATCCTCTGTGGCCTGACCATTGGGGCGATACAGATTATTCAGACCCTTTATTCAGATGGTTTCACATGGACAGCCTTGTCCATGGCATCAATTATAATCCATTAACATTTTCTAGACGTCCTTCTCCTCCTCGCTATCATCATCGTCATCATCATCGTCATCATCCATTTCAAGGTGGAAACCTTCGCTACCGTCACGCTGCTTCAGATGTAAACATAGACGAATACCTTGCTAGGTTAAGCAATATATTCGACAGCTATATCACCCCCGGTATTGGTGGTCGTGGCGGCAGGGCAACGTCGTCAACCTCATCGGATAACGAATCGTACCTGAACAAACCCGCAGTTGAACCTCGACCAGGCTATACGAAATCGCTCAACAAGAATGTGACTATAGCTTGTCCAATATGTCAAAATGAGCTCGGACATGCTGGCAAAGAGAATACAAAACTCTGGGTGCTAGTTGGCTGTGGACATGTCATTTGCGATGAATGTATCGAAGGAATCTTTATGACCAAGGTGGCGATCAAATCTAAAGTCGCATCCAATGCTGCTACGACATCAATAGGGATGGCAGCAACATCGTCACGAAGACAATCGATCTCGAAGCGATCAGTCATTAAAGGGAAGGCTAAATGGACGGCACCTATGCCTTCGCTAGCACCAACTAATGGAGACGAACAGTACATGGAGTCAGGAGGCAAAATGACAGAGTCAAGCGTGAATGTGAATCGTGGCACTGACACTGGCCCTAGTACAGATGGCAGCGGAACGTTCAAATTGGTCAAGCGTGCTACAGGTCAATGTCCCAGTTGTAATCGTAAGATCAAGAAGACAAGCGTGCAGCAACTGTATTTGTAAAGCACTGGAAATGAAGCTAATAGTCATAGGTTTGTCGGGTCCTCCATGAAACAATAACCCGCCATATATCTATTATTCATATACAGTCTGATCCTCACTAAAACACAGCTTATCACCAAACCAATTTTGTTCATTCATATTGTTTATTGTATTATGTGCTTTGTATTTTTCAGTACAGCGCTTACACAGAAGCCTCAGCAGTGGAAGCTGCATGCTGTGCAGAATATTGTGAATGCGACAATGGCTGCTGCTGTTGTTGATCCTGTCGTTCAGAATGGACAGCGGAAGAAGAAGATGAGCTACTACTAGCCTCAGCGCTCTGGCAAGGCGGATCTATGTCCATCATCTCAGCCCCAGTTTCAAGTCTATTTCCGCCCAATCCCTCTCCGGTGATTCCATCCATACCAGCACTACTGTTGTTCGGTCGGAGAGATTGTGTCGAGGATGGAGCCGTTACTAGAGTTTTTCCAAAAACATCTCCAATAGGCTCGCCGCTCCTACCAGGAACATGACTTTGCACCGATGGTGCTTGCAATACGCCACCATTATTACCATTCTCGTAATTCGTGTTTAATGTTCTCGATATCCCGGCAGAGCTTGATACTCCAGGCTATACCACAGAATTGGGATTTAAAGAATTCGAATTAGCACAGCACAAGCGCTATTTCTTGGATTCAAAATGCAGACAAAATTCCGAATCACATGGCTCACAGCATCAATGGACTTACATTCACAACAATAACTGTTCCTTGATGTTGAGATGACGGCGACTGCAGGACGCCAAATGAAATCGATTCTGAGCCTAAGAAAAACGCTGAAGGAGATTGCTGCGCAGATGAGGTTAATGATTGGACATCACTAAAAGTCCAGTTCCGTAGGAAGAGCATGAATGTGCACGGGCTATGTTGTTGTTACCTCTCTTGCCAATCGTGATTGTGGTGTAAAATCAGCATGGGTGATGGCCGTCGACACAGATGGCTCTGCACCATGTTGTTGTGGTTCTGCGTCTCTTCTAGTATCTGGGGCATTACAATGTCCTTGTGCTTGTCTTTGTCCTTGTCTTTGTCCTTGTCTTTGTCCTTGTCTTTGTTCTTGTTCTTGTCCTGCTATAGGCTCCGCTGGCAATAACCAGCTCTCGGGAGGTGCCCAAGGTTGAAACGTGTGTGCCAGTTCTGACGGAGGTGTAGATGCATAGGCTTCAAGCCCTTCGCAATTTCGATCATTAGAAATTTCCTCTTGTCTGCGAGTTGGATTTTCAATCGCAGCGGCCACTTCTGATTATACGGAATATCCAGAAGTAAAATAAAAAAAATCCTTGCTGTCAATCACTGAAGATTGGTAGAATGACATGTTTCACAAAAAAAGCATAAAAGAATGCGGCTGCTGTATACTGATTTTCTTTGTTTCTTTTTTTCTTTTCTTTTTTTTCTTTTTTTTTCTGTAGAGACTTGTGTGTTAATGCTAAATGCCATGTCACTTCATGATTTTTGGACAATCACCTTCGGCAAGTATTTCCTCCTCAACTGGTTCATCGATTTCGACACTGTCATCAAGATCAGCAAATGTCCTGCAGAGTGGACATAAAACCCTGGATGTTGGCCATTAAAAGAGGTCGGATGCATTTGTAATGATACACAGAGAAAAGGAGCAACAAAAAGTGACTGGAAGGATGCAATGCGGAAAAGACAGATACAACAGTCAGTGGAACTTGCTGCATTAGCTGTTGTGAGAGACCGGATGGCCTTGAGGGTATTCATCCTAGCAACAAGGAAAAACACGTATTACATTCAACTAATGTTAAATTTCTTTCTAGGGAAGTGTATACAATCAAAATCTAATCAGTGGGATGACTATAAATTCCTGCGTACCTGAATGCATTCGGTTGCTGTTGCCATGAGCGATTTAATTCCAAACGCATCTTTACGCATCGATAGATTTCTATAACGATGAAGTAAAGAAACAATTAATCAGTGTCGGCGAGCTAATGACTCATACAATGCCTCTAAAGCTGACTCTCTGTATATGTGGGTTTTGTGTCAAAAGCTTATGTCTTCTTGGTATATCGTTATGTGACAAGTAAATGAAAACCATCGCTTCCGTATATTGATGAGCCTCCTTCGGCTTTCTCATTCCTCTCTTATTCAATGAGCATGCTTGGCAAAACAAGAGAATAATACCGTCTGCTTTTTTTTTTTTTTTTGTGGAGGAGGTAGTCATTGTTGTTGTTGGTTCTGTTTTGGAGTCTGCTCCTCTAGAATTAACCGCTTCAGAGCTGTAATGATAACTGTATCTAACCTTGCGTGCCTCCTTGATAATCCACACCCAATTGGACAACATCCCCATCCTTGAGCTGTGTAGGCTTTGACTCTACACCCGCAGCTGACAATCGAGTATATTTAGGAATGTTCCTGAAGATGATTTCGTATCCCGGATGTAAAACTAGACAAAGTATATAAAAGAAAGCATCATAAAATATTAGAATGTGAACTTATGAATACAACTTGTTGTAAAAAGTGAATTTAAAGAATCCTTTAGCCATTTCATTGGATATTTAAAAAGGAGATGGAAGGAAAGACCGGAAATGATAGGTGAGGGGCGAAACAAAATTAGAAACCATTCCCAAAGATAACGCCATTCTATTGGGATATGGAGATCAAATTAATAAACAATCAATATCCTTTGCAGTAAGCAAGTTAAGTGTGTGCCCAAGACTGGCTGCTCCATCGTTGATTTGATTTCTATTGTCTATAGGATTTCCTAAAAGCTATGCTTTTACCATGTCTTGTTTCACTTTGCTTATGTGATTTTTGTATTTGCCTCATGCCGAATCAATGTCCCATTATGATAGTAAAGAAAGTTTAGAAAAGTATCCGAAATAAAAAAATAAAATTCAGGGCTGCCACAATCTAGCCATCTCAAAAAGAACGGTAATTCACTCTGCTCCTTTGATGACGCTATGAATAAATGCTTTTCTTTTCTTTTTGGTTGAAGATGCAAAAAGTATCATTGTTCCTGTATCCTGTCAGTCCATGGATTTTTTTTTTTTTTTTTTTTTTTTTTTTTGCCTGCATACTGTATGATGGGCAATGGCGAAAGGAGAAATATTTTGGCTTTTCAGAGATTGCTTTAAAAAGTGAAGTTCCAAAATCTGAAGACTGCGCTACAGTGAAAGGAATCATTAACAAACTTCACACATTGTTACACTCTGGCATGTCTATCTATCCACTCTACTGCTCGATGAATATAGCAACAATCTTCTGTACATTGTTCTTGCTGGCTCTTGCTTCTTGCTCCTGTTTCATTATCCTGCTCTTTGGTCGTTATGAGCAAATAAATAAGGGAAAAAAAAAAAAAAAAAATCTGCTGCCAAGTTTCTTCCCATTGCTCACAGAGAGATTGTTTACCTTTCCATGCTTTGTAAAAGATCTCTGCGTGCCCACGAGAGACGACCTTGGACTTGAATGTAACTCTATTGGGTAAAGATTGCTTGTCCGTGAAGCGACCGATCTTGAGTACGAATCCCTCAGGGACGTCTTTGTCTACAACTTGAAATGAAGTGATCGTGGAGCATCTAAATGAGGAACAATGCGAATGTGCGGTACAGGTGGTGTGGGGGTAGATGAACTAGCAGAGCCAGTAGTTGGTACTGTGTTTCCTACAACGGCGGCTCCATTAGTGCTGCTGTGGCTGTGTAGAGTGCCCTGAGTATGGCGAGTATGACTCGGAGCGCTCATGCTCTTCTTGGATACTAGATAAGGTGTTGAAAAGGAAAATTTGGCAGGAAGTGACCAATAGTCAAGAGGAAAAGGAAGAGGAAGAGAGGAGAGAAGCAAAGAGCAAGAGTGAGGTGGAAAAGTAGGATAGAGCAGAGTAAAGTATAGAGAAGGAGGGCGGAAGTGGAGTGGAGGCAAAGGAAAAATATGCTTCTGTTTCTATTAAGAATGAATAAATGTAAAATGAGACGGAGAGTGTGACAGAGGTGAAAAGGAGAACAAAAAAGATGTCGTGAGCTTGTTGTACATCTAGTACTGGGCTTGTGCGCTCTGCAATACACACTCAGACCCATTGCCTGAGAAAAAGAAGAGCCTCGAATGTGTGCAGACATGTAGTGAGGAGCTTTTGTAGTGACATCAATCAACGATCAAAGGATTTCTAACTGTACTAAAGGCATGTGGCATTAATCAAACATGTGGGGTTCTGCGTGGCCCAGCTGTGATCATAATGACATCCTCCGCTCCATATCTCCTTATTCATTCACTCGGAGAACTATGTTAAAATTTAATTATTTAATAAAGTTTTATCAGACCAGAGGGCTCAACCTTGCGCGAGTCGGCTACAAACAAGCAAGGTTAAAACATTAACAAATCTATCTGTGTCATAGAACTTACCAAGTAACAGACTCACATTGTCATATTGGGTGATGAATGATATAGAAACTTGACCAGACCATGAGTCTAAACGTGTGAATGTGTGAGTTACAAGAAATAGACACCAAAGACCGGCTCCCCTACAACATATGCCAGCCACCGTAAAGTTAAGCTCGCAAGCAATATCTCAGTGTCATTGAGGTACGGCGCGAACACTAACATTCTCAAGCAGCATGACACTCTCAAAACTATTAGCGCAACTTTTTTTTATAGAGCGTCTAGATCTAGTTGATATTTCATGTTAGTGAAGTCAGTCATTTCATCGAGTTGGACGTAAGCCCTTTCGCGCTGTTCGCAAAAACATACAATCATATATACTAGTTGCAAAACACTTGAAGGAAAATCAAAAGAATAGGGAAAAGAAGCATCCATTCAGGGTGGGAGGGAAAAAAAGTCTCCAGACCTGGTTATTCAAGTCACTTTAAAGATATAAAAAAAGGCTCGGGATATAAAACGTATGAGTAAGGCTCGGGCTTGAACTGGTGGTATATATGCATACATAGTAATGTCAAACAACCATAATACTGGGATAGATATAAATGAACGACGTTTCATAAAAAAAAGGCATTTTCAAATCTTTCGACCTCAAGCATCTTCTGTCAATTCTGATCAAGAATGTCCATGTAAAGCGACATTCCATGATATAGGAATCGTATCTAAGATAGATGCAACCGTTAAAAAAAATTCAGCAAAATCTCGTCACCTGCAGGGTTCGAACCTGCGCGGGAAATCCCATACACTTAGCAGGCATACGCCTTAACCACTCGGCCAAAGTGACTTCATATTTAAATTTTGTCGTAAATGACGCCTATTCATTTACCTAAATATGTTATTTCCTTTCAATTTATTTATTTCCTATCATCTATTTCTACCATTTTTAAATAGTATTTAAGTAGCTTTTCCTTCACTGCAAAACGGCATCTCTCTTCTTATTATCGATGCCCTTTTGCAGGTGAGTTTATCTTCATTATTCTCATTATGAATTCTCAGAAAATTAGCAGTTATTAAAGATCTCTCTTCTTATTATCGATGCCCTTTTGCAGCATCCTCAAAATCATTCAAAGCATTACTTAGGATCACTATCGTATCCCAAAACCACGAGGCTCTTGCCCAATTCTTCATTTTTCATCATTACTACTAGTTTCCAGAGATCACTAGTAGATGCTCTACGACAATTTCTGTCCTAATAAGGCAACTTAGCTCACGTCCTATAACAAGTGACGTCATGGTAGGTAGGACCAGAGTATACCTATAGTGGTACCCTCAACCCACCCCGTCCTGCCTGGACATAGCCCAATGGCTGAGTAGTATACTCGTCAGGGCACCCTCCTGTCTAGCCCAGGGGCCGGGTTCGAGTCCTGGTTAAGGCACATAAAGTG